AAAATTGTTATATATTGGTTTCAAAAATTGGCACTTTTTAACGACTCAACTTGACTAATTCCAACAAAATCTGCGTACCAAAACTTCGTCACCAGTTTAGTCTCGTCACATCTAGAAAATTATCCTTTCCATCTCATCGTCACAAAGTGTGGCAGACAACAAAAATGAATCACATGATGTTATGTAACTCGATTTTGCAAATATTACGCAGAATTAATTTGCAAAACCAGCATCACTTCATTTCATTTCATTGACTACACGACATTGACATTGACAAACCAATTAGCAGTGTAAATGAGACATCATATCCCATCAGAGAATAAAGCTTGGTCGGGCAGGGATATGTTGTGCCCGACCAAGCTGCCGTAAGACTTTTCAGCATTGGAAACTACACCGTGGCAGCTGAAGGGGACAAACACGCATGACGCGATGATTTTTATTTAAAATAAAATTATAATACGCTTTATCGAAAGCTGCAATGTAGTTGTATTTTTTAATAATTACTGAGATAATTGGTCAAAGGTAGTACTGGTATTACAGTCACTCAAAAAAAGTTGTACAGTTCCAAATTGAAATGGTTTAATTATTTTGAAGTTGTCAATCTTTTTAAAACGAAAAACAATTTCTAGCGACATTAATTAGCGAGATAATTACTTCAAGATAGTGCACGTATTACAGTAACTCAAAACAACTTTTAAAAATTTTTTTACTCATATCCTTGGTGTTCGTCCCCATTCATTCATTTGTAAACCTGAGGAGTTAGCAACCTCAGAAAATGAGATGGGAAATGCCCGACCAAGCTTTATTCTCTGTATCCCATTGAATTTTGAGCCCTTGTTTTTGTTGATGATGATATGTGTTTTTTAATGACAATTTGTTTGAATGAGGGACTCGTGCCGTTTACGTAAAGTAAAATATAATGCAATCAATAATATTCGGCCAGACTGCAAATGTTGTAATTTAACAAAAAATGCGAAGATTCCAGACTTCTCGGGAAGAAGGAGGGTCCAAATTTGGATAAATGATTTTTTGCATTTATTTGCTATTGACGCACACGAATTAAGTACATATTTATAAAATCACGAGATTTGCAGTCTGGGGCTGAATATTATTGATTGTATAACATTTCACTTTTTACACGGCACGAGCCCCTCATTCAAAAACATTATTGACATTAAATTATCTACTCTAATAAAGTGTTAGTATGATCCCTGGGTCCCTGGGTCCGTCTTCGCAATGCAAATTGCCCCATACAGTAGACAAAGAAGGAAGCGGAGCAACCACTGCATGCATGCACTGCACTGCATGAATAAATGAATACATGAACATGTACACCCCACATACATACATCACTCATCAATAGTGGTTATCATGATAAGTGATCGTGATAAACACTATTAATTAATTATTTTAGTTTGAGAAACTCTACCCACAGCGAGTGGCATGTCAATTCGAATGTATTTTTGACGCTGAATCCAACGCCGTCAATGGTTTTGACCTGCGAGGCCCCCGTGACCTCGCCGTGACCGTGGTGTCCAAATCTGGCTTATTCGTGATGTCGCATATCAATTCGAATGTATTTTTGACGCTGAATCCGAATCCGTCAATAGCTTGGCGTTAATTGTAGAAGTTAACGGGGTTTATGGAACTTAACGGGAGCGTGAAGCGTGGGAATTTAAATAGTTAGCTATGCAGTTACTCCCACGCGACGGGAATTTAAGTAATTAGCTATTCAACTACTCCCACAGGGGGGAATCAAATTTTACTGTGACCAGGTTAATTAAAATGCAGTATGACTTGGGCAAACCCTCAGTCTGATGTATGTATGTAGTATGACAAAGTCTCCACTGGGAATTATTTAAAATATAGTATGACGGATTTTTCGCTTTGGGCACACCCCCCACTGGAACTCTAGAACCCGGCCTTGGCCGGGCTATACGCTAGTCATCCATAAAAACAAGGGCTCAAAGTTGAATGGGATGTGATGTGCCATTTACGCTGCACTGTCAATGTCCGGTAGTCTATGAAATAAATGAAATAATGCTGATTTTGCAACTTAATTCTGCGTAATATTTGCAAAGTAGAGTTACATAACATCATTTGAGACAGGGTTATTTTGTTCTCACACACTTTGTGACGACGAGATGGAAAGGAGTATTTTCTGGATGTGAGGAAATGAAACTAAAGTATGACGATATTTTTGTACGCAGATTGTGCTGGAATTATTAAGTCAAGTTGAATAGTTAAAAAAGTGTCACAGTTTGACGCTAATATTCGCAATTTGCATTTAATGACATCAGTAAATTTACACAGATTTTTTTTTATTGATGCATAATTTGATCGTTACGTAATAATTTTCGAATTTTTATATTTTAACATTTATTTTGAGATTACAGATAATAACTCCGTTAACATTCAATAAAATTAATTTAATATACTTAAAAAAATTGGTGAGTATGAAAGTCATGAATTTATTTCTGAATATGAACATGTGAAACTTATTACGTTATGATCTTATGTAATGAGCTAAATTAATTAATCTTGTTACATAAAAATTGCGAATATTTTTAATCCGCTTCAAACAAAACAGTTTTTAACTAATTAAATTAAAATCTGCGTATTTACAAATGTCCCTACAATTTCGTCATAGTTTAGTTGAAAATTATGAATTTACGCTGATACGAATCTGAAAATTATTACGAAGTGATCTCAAACTATTGGAGGTAAGAGTATCCGATCTGTAAAAATTTATTACTCTCATTGAATAAAAATTGCGAACATTTTTATTCGGCTTCAGACTTTACTTATTCAATTTTAAAAATTCCAGTAAAATCTGCGTTGCGTATACAGAAATTGACTCACAGTTTAGTCGAGAATTAGGAATTTAGGTTAATATTAATCTGAAAATATATAATATAAAAATTAGAATTTTATCATTTAAAATTAGTTATCGTGAATTGAAAAAAATTCGAAATCTGTACAGCATTACAAAATCTTCTTGCATAAAAATTGCGAGTATTGGGTTCAAACTGTGACACGTTTTAACTACACAAATTCAATAATTCCAGAATAGATTTGCGTATTTACATATGTACAAAATTTAGTCCTAGTTTAGTCGAAAATTACGAACGTTATGTAAATACTGATCTGAAAATATGCTAATTACTACTTCATGTTCTGAAATTATACAAGGTAGAGACAAAATCTTTGTAATTGAACAATTCTCGTTGTATACAAATTACGAATATTTGTTTTGGGTCCGGAGTGTGACACATTTTTTAATTACTCGACTTCACTAATTCCATGAAAATCTGCGTAACAAACAAATAAACAAACGCAACAACAACAAAATAACAAACGCGAAACAAACGCAAACAAAAATTTCTTCATAGTTTAAAAATTACGAAAATTACGAATTTATGTAAATACATCTATTAAGCTGGAAATATAAAATATGAAAATTATTACGTTTTGATTACAAATTTTTTTAGTTCAAATTAGTGAATCTGTACAAATTTACTAATTTAATGGCATGAAAATTGCCAATATTTTTATTTGGAGTGACGCTTTTTAACCAGTCAACTAGACTTATGACAGTTTTGTTGAAAATTATGAATTTTTGTAAATATACCTAAATAAAATATAGCTTGAAAAAGTAAAAATTTCTAAGGTGAGGAAGTGCACTTAAAAGTATTAAACAAGCTCCCCACACCTCCACCCCAGATAATTTAACTTCGCCTGTGCTGTCTACTGCATGCAAAAAATATCGACAATAACGCTTTGGCGTCATTTAAGAAAATAAACATTAGAATTAATTTCTTGACCCAAAGGTAACTTTTGAATCGGTTAATTTCCAAATCATTACATCCTGGATGCTAGGGTATTACCAATTATATTCATTTGGTAGTGATTATTATATATGGTAATTGTTACATTATTACTCATCTGTCCCAAAATATTTATTAATCATTTGTGTAACTACTTTGTCATCGTTCTCGTTGAAGGAGGTTCCAAATGTATATATGTTCTATACAGTGGCAACCATTGTTTTTATACTAGTTGGGTAACTCTTTGTGGCTTAATTGCAACCGATTTTTTAATAACAGTGTAAAATCCAGGTTTAGCAGCCTGTGTTACAATTTAATAACGAAATAAAGTCCAACAATTTTTTTTTAAATATTAGTAATGTACATCATTTATTAATATTTACAGATATTTTTTGAAGATCAAAATCAAGATCAAAAGCTCCAGCCGAAGATCAAAGATCAAGATATTATCTTGATGTTTGATCTTGATCTGCTATCTGAGATAATGATCTTGCCCACCTCTTTAGAAAATCATAAATTAATTCAAATTCTTCTAATTTTCATCTATTATAATTTCAGCTTAATATTTACGTAAATTCATAATTTTCGACTAAGCTACGATTAATGTTAACATTCTCAATAATCTCAAAATATATGCCAAAATTTCAAAACTATTACTTGATGATCAAATTATGACGTAACAAACAAAGCAAAATCTGTATAAACTAATTGATCTCGCTACATAAAAATTGCGAATATGTATTTGCATCGAACTGTAACACTTTTCAACTATTTAGCTTTACTCAATAATTCCAGCAAAATCTGCATACAAGAATTTCGACATAGTTTCGTCTCGAAACATCCAGAAACTAATCCTTTCCATCTCATCGTCACAAAGTGTGATAACAAAAATAAACCCTGTCTCACATGATGTTATGTAACTCTGCTTTGCAAATATTATGCAGAATTGCTCTGCAAAACCAGCATCACTTCATTTCTTTCATTGACAACATACCATTGACATTGACAAAAAATTAGCAGTGTAACTGACATATGACATATCACATCCCATTGAATTTTGAGCCCTTGTTTTGCTAATGATCCCGACAATTTTTGTTTAATGAGGGGCTCGTGCCGTGTAAAGTAAAATGTTATCCAATCAATAATATCCAGTTCAGACTACAAATGTCGTAATTTAATAAAAAATACCACTTCTCGCGAAGAAAATTTATACAAAATTTGCATAACTGAGCTTTTGCATTTGTTTATTATTAACGCGCATGATACAATTAAGTAAGTATACAAGATGATACGCATTTAGTAAAAAAATTGCCCCTTCATCAAGCAATTGATGAGATGAACCCTTATTAAAGAAATGAAATTATCGTTATAATTAGTTAATTTAATTAACGAAATATTGGTAAAGATGAAGATTTAAGTTCATGAGATTAACGCGAGTAAAATTGTCGCAATAATTAATTAATTAAGATTTTACATATTCATATTATGCAAAATTGTACGTAAATTAAATACTTAATAAAAAATTATTGAAGATGGGGATGGCATGGCTTTAAGCACATAAATTTATAGGACGAACTCGAGTAAAATTATAGCTGTGATTAATTAAGATTTCGCACATACTTTGCAAAATTGTACTCAAATTCTTGTCGACAGATGAACTTTTGCATGAGTAGAATTATGGTTTTAATTAATCACTTAGTTTAATTAATTAACTAAATATTAGCGAAGATTTAGATACGACTGACAATTTAGGATGCATCATCTTCGTCTTCTTGAAGGGACATTTTGAGTGCCAACTTGTAATCGATTGCATTCATGCGAATTTCTGCCTCGTGTTGATCGTGATGCAAAAGTGGGACGATTTGTGTGTTCAACCCGGCCACGATTTCCGCATTCGTTCCAATCCAAACTCGCAGTTCTTCGATGTCTTCTGCAGAAAATTAATGTGTAAATGGGAAATTTGAGAATGATGCGATTCATCGCATTAATTAACGCAGAACTTGATAACTCATCGTCATAATGAACACATTTTTAATCATTTCCTCACTCTGGGAATTTATTTTAAAATTCTGGACGACAAATTTGTAGAGCAGAGAGTTCCCAATTTTAAGAAATATACACTCCAGATTTTGACACTTTTTGAAGGAGGAAATCTCAAGTTTAAAAAGCCTTCAGAAATATTGGAACTCGTCGAAACTGACTCAAAAAACTCGACGCCATTCCATCAATCAACTCACTGACTTCAAATTTGTCGTTCAAAATTTTAAAATAAGTTCCCAGAGGCGAGAAATTATTAAAAATGTGTGGAGATTTTGACAATTTTGAGTCCTTCGTTAATTTTTAAATTATGATTTGCTTACTATTTTGATCGAATAGCTCAATGATGTCAAGTTCTGTAACATATGTAATGGTGAAAAAATATATTACTTTAGAATGATTTTTTTCCAAATTTGTTCAAAATTTTTGGAAATTTGAATTTACATACCTGAGAATCCGTAAGATTTAAGTGGTTGGAATTGTTGAAGGAATTTTTGACGACAATTGTTGCTTTGCACTCGGGGCTGCTCACCTACAATTAAGTGCAAATTTTATAGTTAATTGGTAATCTAATTAACTGAACTTTACTAGTCTTTAATAGAAAAATTAAAAATCGACACAAAATTATAAACAAAATTTGAATACAAAATTTTGCCGTAAAACGTGAACGCTTTCACTGACTAATTTTGCACACATGAAAAATTTTAATAGTAATAATAATTATTAAGTAATAATAATAATTTGGTAAGATTTGACATTATAGAAAAATTAAAAAAATGGTATACAATTTTAAAACAAAAAATTTCATAAAAATGAATAACAAAGTTCCAGTATAAAAATTTCTATTAGAAAATGTCGAATTTTTTAATTAACTAATTTGGTTTGGTACTACAGGGTGGGCCATTTAATTTGAGAAGGATTCAAACGCTCGCGCGAAAAAACTGGCACAACTTAAACAAACTCGTCTTACACTGTTCGACAGACAAACCAATTAGTTAAGACTCTGATTTTTTTCTACTCGAAATTCTGAAAAATGGCTCCTCCCTGTTCATTTGAAGTGGAAGTACTAGTGAAAGAGTTTTCCAGTCAGGGTTGCACCGGAAGTGTCATAAAAAAGACTTAAGGCACGTGGTCACGAAATTTCTTTGGCCTCAATTTATAGTAAAAATAAATTTATAGTAATAATAAATATAGAAGGTGTTAGAAGACAAGCAATTAAGCAGGGACTGCCTCCTCCCCCTAAAAACCGCCCCCTTGCAGAAAGGACAAAGAAGTTAAAAACGAAGCTCGACCGCTTGACCACCCAGGAAAACCCCAAGAGCATTCGCAGTATGGCGAAACTACTAAAATCGAATCCCACAACTATTCGAAGAGTGATTAAAAAAGATTTGGACAAAATCAAACGGCATAAAGCAAATCTGCATGCGCTGAACGAGAGTCACATCGCAAATCGGCGGACCAACGCTCGGAAGCTGTACGAGAACCACCTTGCTGGAGGTAAGGACGAACACGTGGTCACAATCGATGAAGCTTTGTTCAGGGTAGATGGCTGTAACGGAACAAGGTCAATTTGCTATGTGCGTCGTGGAGAAAATGTACCCATTAGCTGGGTATGTCAGGAGACAGAAAGGTTTGGGAAACAGATCATGATCATAGGAGTATTGTCAGGGGGGACCCTTACGGCTGATGAAAGTCCACCAAAAGATTAATGCAGACCGATATATTTCGGATGTTTTGACACCATTGGTTGAAAAAGAAATTCCAAGACTGTATCCAGGGGAGGAGGACAAAGTATTTATTCACCACGACAAAGTCTCATCTCACACCGCCCGAAAAACGCAACAATACGCTGAGACCGTGAAACAAAATTCAGGACCAGTCATCGTAAGAAATCAAGAAATACCTGTTAAGTGTCCTGACATTGCACCATTGGATTTTTTCGGCTTTGGTTGGTTAAAACAAAGAGCGTTTCATCGGAAAGCTACAACTTTAGATGGACTTTGGAAAACTTTTAAGGACAAGTGGTTAAAAATAAGCCTTGAAAAGTGTCTAGAAGTGTTAAGCGTTGCAGGCTTGTAGTTCAGAACAAGGGGCATCACATCGAGCAATTTAATCATAAAAAAAATTCATACGTAGGTATGAAAAATTGTTGAATTCTTCTCAAATTAAATGGCCCACCCTCTGTAAATATTTGACTAGTTTTTTTTACCTGTCCTCCAGTTTCTGAAGTATGATGACAAACAATTTTCGGCAAATTTGTCAATTTTCGGTGGGTACTTTTTAAGCCAAAAAATAAGGACCTCTTCTTATCGCGAAGGTTGATGGGGTTCTAAATGTTTACCTGGAAAGAAAAGGGTTCAGGTGAAAGAAAGGAAGTTAAAAAGAAAGGGTGAAAAATGAGAAACACCCTTTTTAGAAACTTATTTTTGGCCAGATTAAAGGTTTACGTTACCGTATTTTCCATGAAAAAGAGACCTATTTTTGGCATTTAATAACCCCATAAATGACAAATTAGTTTAAAGCATGACAAATTTTACACAATACTTTTTAGGAAGTATAACCCATGTATTTACAAATTTTTAAAAGTATTTTGTAAAACATACATATGTACCTAGTTAATTAGCACGCCAAAATATACTCAATAGGATATGAAGCATACGACAAGCCCAAATTATTTACATTTTCAAAAATTATTAAAATTTTTACACATCGTGTTTAAAATGTGACAGATTTCTTAGCATTGTCAAAACGGCTTGAAAAGAAGACAAAAAACTTATTTGTTCCTCCATGACGTGGTCGTCTCAAGAAATCATTGAGTAATTTAAACTGCGCGAAATTTGCATCCGCCTTTGGACTTTGAATTATATTAGCCGAATGAGCCGAATTAGTTTATTATTTAGCACCAGTTGTTCTTATTTTGACGTAGAAATCATACGAAATTGAATAATTTGAACGCCAAAATAGAAATAACTGGTGTCAAATAATAGGATAATTCAGCTCATTCGGGTAATGTAATCGCGGATCCAGTACTTCTTTAGGTGGACGGTCTCGACAGACTCGACTCATAACAAGATTTCCCATACTTTTACATACATAAATACACAGCAATATTCATAAATTTCAAACTAATTTTTCGAGACTTGGAAATCGAATTTCGAAATTCTGTACACCGCTATTCTTGATAATTATCTGCTTAAAAATATGCATTTAAAATTGATCGATATGGATAAGTCAATTTTGCCTGATGATTAGCATGTGTTCTTATGGAAATTACACTAATTGTGGCATCCAGCCATTCTCAAACTAAACTCCGTTTCAAGCTGTCTGAGTTCACCGCCTTGAGGACATTACATTACATTACCCGAATGAGCCGAATTATTTTTTTATTCAACACCTGTTATTTTTATTTTGGCGTTTAAATTATTCAATTTCGTATGGTTTCTACGCCAAAATAATTCGGCTCATTCGGGTAATGTAATGTAATGTCCTCAAGGCGGTGAACTCAGACAGCTTGAAACGGAGTTTACCAAATTGATGGATTTGTGCTCTAGTACAAAGATAACGGGATGGTTTACAATATCGTCGACCAGAATTTCGAAATTCGTCCTAGTTGCTGAGAATTAATTAAAAATATAGGGTTGTGACGTCACTGTTATGACGTAGGTGGCGCGTCATGGAAGCTTGCGTTAAAGCTATTCAGGATTCATTTTCCATGAATATGAAACTATTTTTGGCATGCACACCCTTATAAATAACAAATTTGTTTAAAACGTGACTAATTTTATAGGATATGTTTTCAAGATTTGTAAATCATAAAAGGATAAATTTAGTAAAATATTTTTGCATATTTGCAAAAATACGGATTTAGTTAGCCTAACAAAATATGCAAATCAAAGAACCTGAACGATCATAATTTACTTGTAGTAATACTGTGTTTTTACAAGTCGGGTTTGAAGTGTGACAGATTTCTGAAAATTGTCTACTATCCTTAGAAAACATGACAAGAAATTTATTTTTGATCAGTTGAAACCCATATTTTTCATGAAACAATGAATTATTTTTGGTCATTTTAACTTTTGAAAATAATATGTTCCAAATTATAAATACGTATAATTTAAATTAAATTCGCCAAATATTAAATTTCAAAGTGTGACGAATTTCTGAAAATTGTCAAAACGACTGAGAAAAAATTACCAGAAACTTATTTTTGTCCGGCTTAAAATATTTTCTACGAAAAATGGACACTCTAAATAAAAATGAGTAAAATTTACCCAAGGTTGGGTAAAAAAGAGGATGACACAACAAAAAGGTAAAATTTACCCATCATTGGGCAAATTTTACACAACTTTGGATAAATTTTGCACAACGTTGGACAAATTTTACCTTCTAGTTGTGTCATCCTATTTTTTACCCAACCTTGAGTAAATTTTACTCATTTTTGTTTAGAGTGGACTATTTTTAGCCATTTATAAATAACTTTTATGAATAACAAATTACTTAAAAATGAGACTAATTTTACAGGATTTTCTTTTTTAAGAATTGTTAGTCATGGATTTATAAATTTATACAAACAGTTTTGAATGATTATACTAAAACTAAATTAAATTATTTTATAATTTAACTTTATTTTCCATGAAAAAAAACGGAATATTCTTGACATTCTAACTTTTTTAAAAATATAAATAGCAAATTTTCAGTAAAAAATGATTTCAAAAAGCTTAGAACTATATATTTTGCAGGATAATTTATTTTAAGAATTGAAACCTGGATTTACATCCTGGATTTACAAATTTTTCAAAATATTTTTGCATATTTGCAAAAATTCGTAAACAACATGACAAAATCTCTTTAATAAAATATTAATGACAAATTTTTTGATAATTTATCTTCTATTTGGATTAAGTTTAACAAATGTTAAAATTGTTGCACATCGCGTTTAAAGTGTGCCAGATTTCTGATAATTATTTAAAATCGTTTAGACAAAATGATCAGATACTTACTTTTGGAAAGATTAAAGGTGGACATGAATTTCAATTTTCTACGAAATAAGGAACTATTTTTGGCGTTTAAACCTTTACAAATAACAAACTAGTTTAAAACGTGGCTAATTTTAGAATAAATTTCTTTTTTCACAAATTGTAAATCATAGATTTATAAATTTGTTTAAATATTTCTGCATATTTGCAAATATGTATAGTTAACATGGCAAAAGTTACTTAATTTAGAAAATTTACATGGATTGAGACGTTTTTTGACAAAAGCTGCACCTTTTAATTAAATTTTAATCTCGATTCTCACAATTTTTACACATCGGGTTTTAAATATGACAAATTTCGGAAAGTTATTAAACATGGCGGAAAAAATGAGAAAAAATTTATTTTTTCCATTTTAAAGTTCTTAACGATTTTTGGAATTTTTTCCAAAATTAGACTCAACTCAAACTAAATTCCCTATATTTCCTCACCTTCATAGGTATAAAACATGTTTAATTTTACGAAATGTTTTTTAAGAAGTGTAAATCATACAAGAATAAATTCACTAAATATGTTTGCATATTTCAAAAAAAAATAAAATTAGCAATAAAATTTTCTTAATGATACAAAACGAATCCTCACAGTACTTAAATGTATTCAAATTATGTTTGAACATTTGCATATTTAATATATTTGCAAATTTTACTTGCAAATATATTTAATTACAGTAACAAAACTAAGCTAATCGATGGAAGCTGTTCATCTGAACTTTAAAAATAATTATCAAATTATGAAAATTTTTACATACATATAGGATTTAAATTGGGTCAAATTTCTGAAAATTGTTTATTTTACCCCAGAAAAGCAAAACATGGCTTATCGTCTAAGAAATTATTATGATTGTGCCATCTTATTCTCACAACATGATGAGCATATCTTTTCGGCACGATAAGCCATAGGTTACTAATGTGCTAAATATTCCCTACCTCTATACGTTTATTTATTATAACCTTTACAGAGAAAAAATGCTTATTGCGTAAGAATTTATTTCGATAAGCTATGTCATCTTATCCTCACATAAGCCATAAGGCATAAGGCATAAGGAATAAATTAGTCATAAGATAAGCCATAAGTTACTATTTGACTAAATATTTCGCAATTAATTTTAACCAAATTATCAAAAACCGTTGAGAAAAAATTAAAAAATTGTAAAAAACAAACTTTTTTTGGTAAAGCCGTATTTTTCATGAAAAATTGATTTTTTTTTTACATTTTCATCAAAATTCAACTCAACTAAATTAATTTTTTCAATCTCCATGAACTTAAAACGTGCTTAATTTTTCAGAATATTTTTTAATACGTTTAAATCCTGCATTGGTAAATTAATTTGAATATGTTTGCATGTTTAATTGCAAATCGGATCTGAATTTTTAAGATATTTACCAAATTATGAAAATTTGTACATATGGGATTTAAAGTGGGACAAATTTCAGAAAATGATTTATTATCACCTTGAAAAGCAAAAAATGGCTTATTGTCTAAGAATTTATTACAATACGGTGTACCACCTTATCATCGCCAACATGATAAATGTGGGCGGAGAGATGATGTCGCCGTGGGCTCGGTAGGGGAATATGGGCGAGTTTCATCGAGTACCGGACGTCAGGGTCCTTGGGGGACGGATGCGACACGCTTCTGATCACGGGACACCTTCACTGGCCACAGGGGGGTAGCCGGATGGGAGCTACGACGCACGGGGAGGAGGATGAATTGTCTCTCGCTTGGCAATTAGAAATACTGTCTTGTTTTTACTCCGATTACCACTTATGCACCGTTTCTATACTAAACTGCACCTGGCACGATTCAATGTACGAGTTTTTATGAAAAATGACCCGAATAACCTGTCCAATAACGGTATACTTCGTAATTTTCACTTGACAAGAGTTTCAGAATCTTTACTACTCACATTAGCAATTATTACTCTTACAAAATGAATTTTAGGAACTTAATTTAGGTCGTAGAATTTATTTTAAAGATGGCAGCCACGCAGACGGCGTGGTGCAGGGAAAAATGTGGAGAGAAGAGTGGAGGTGTTCACGCTGGGAACACTCGGGCCGGTCTGTCTGAGCTGGAGAGAGGTTCTTCCTTTTTACAGTCGAACTCGGCCACGGTGGCTTCCGTGTGCCGAGTAGTAGGGTGGGGGATATCCAATCCCTACATAAACCATAAGTTACATATTAAATATTTCATAATTCATTTTAATCAAATATAGTGTAACAATTTTTAAAAATTAGCAAAAAAAAACGTTGAGAAAAAGTGGGCAAAAACTTAATTATAGCCGGATTAAAGTCGTGTCGTATTTTTTTATAAAAAGAACTATATTTTGCATTTTTACCAAATTTCAGTTGAACAAAAACTCGTTGGAATTATTTCTTAACGTCGAAAACTTTATAAGATGCTAAATTTTACAGGATGTTTTTCAAGACGTGTAAATCATAAGGATAAATTTATTAAGGCATTTTTGCATACTGATTTGCAAATATATTTAATTGGCATAATGAAATCGAGTCCGAAAAAAGTGTAATTTGAAATATTGCTTCAAATATATATATAGATTAAAAATATTTTCAAATTATGGGAATTTTCATGCGGAATGTGTGACAGATTTCTAAAAATTGTCAGAAACCGCTAAAAGTTTAAAGTTGTGCAGGACTGTATTTTTATGAAATTGAATTATCATTTCTAAATATTTTTTGAGTTTCGCTACAATTCACAAGTTTAAAACGTGACCAATTTTACGCAATATTTTTTCAAGAAGTTCAAAAACACCAATTTTGTAAAAAAATATGTTAGAAAATATATTTAATTAGCATAATAAACTTATCGTAAATTGACACCTTACTTAAGAAATATTTACCAATTATGAAAACTTTTATGTATAAGGTTTAAAGTGTGGCAAATTTCCTAAAATTATTTACTAATTATTAACCTTCAATACAAAAATGGCTTATTCCCGAAAAATTTATTATGATAAGTTATCCCACGTTATCTTCACGGCATGGTAAGCCATAAGTTCCTTATTGTCTAAATATTTTCTACCTCCATACATTTAAAACGCAGAATAATTTTTAAGACGTGTAAATTGATTTGAATATGTTTGCATATTTATTACTTGCAAATTTATTAATTAGCATGACAAAACCAAACTACTCAAGTTCAAATCGGGCTGGGAATCTGAATTTTAAAAATAGTTGCCAAATTATTAAAATTTTTACATATAAGATTTAAAGTGGGACAAATTTCTGAAGATTATTTATTGTAATCCTCACTCAATAATAAAAAATGTGGCTTATTGCTTCAGAAATTATTACGATAAGCTGTCCCATCTTTTCCTCATAACATGATAAGCAACTTACCAACCTAAAAATTTCATAATTAGGTTTAACCAAATTATGAAAATTTTCACCAAGTTGTGAAAATTGTAACCAAATTGCGACAATTTTTATACAAACGGTTTTAAGCGGGATAAATTTCTGAAACTTATTTCCGAAAATTATCAAAAATCGTTGAACTTGCAAATATAATTTAAACTTGCAAATATAATTAATTTGGCAACCAAGCCAAATGAATCTTTACCTCCTTTAGCTTAAAACTTGCTTAATTCTACAGACTATTTTTAAAACGTGCAAGTAAATCATGCATTCATAAATTTATTCAAATTCTGTTTGTACATTTCTATATTTAATATATTTGAATATTTTGTTTACTTACAAATATATTTAATTAAAGAAAACCACGCTATTCTATTGGAATCTAAATTTTAAAAATAATTCTCAATTGCCAAAATTTTTACATATAGGATTTAAAGTGAGACAAATTTCTGAAAATTGCCAAAACTCGTTGGGAAAAAATTGCAAATATATTTAACTAAAGAAAACCACGTTACTTTGTGGGAATCTAAATTTTTAAAATAATTACTAAATTAAAATAATTTTTACGCATGAGATTTAAGGTGAGACAAATTTCTGAAAATTGCCAAAACATTAAAATGTATATATGTAAAATTTGAATAATAAAATCTGCCCAATAATAAAAGAACGAGTCCTCACGATATCTGAAATTCTGTTAATTCCTCACTGGTCAAAACTTTACTTATGGGCTTAAAGTGTGACAGATTTCTGAAAACTGTCCAAACTTGCTGGGAAAAATGGCCAAAAACTTATTTTATGGCTGGTTAAAGCTGTTCATAATTGGATTCCATGAAAAAAAACAACAACATTTTTTAACTTTTGAAGTGGCAAATTCTAAATAGAATTCGCCCCCCAAAAGTTTCAAAAAGCGTAAATCGGGCAAAAAGAAAAAAATTATAAAAATATGTTTGCATACATGCAAATGTATCTATGCAAAATTTGTGTAATGAAATCTATCTAATCATAAATATTAATAAAGGAAAAGAGTCTTGACCAAATCTAAATCGGAATTAAATGTTAATTCTCCTATTGTTAAAATTTCACCGTTCGGGTTTAATGTGTAACGAATTTCCCAAAGTTGTGAAAACCTCTGGGAAAAATTGCCGAATTTTGTATGAAATTGCATGTTGCATTGAAATTGAATTTTCATTTCTATTTTTTATGCGTTTGCGTCAAAATTTTAACCCTTTTCACCTTCACAAGTTTAAAACATACCTATTTAAAAAAACTTTTTCATTCAAAATTCATTCATCCCGATTTCCGACTGAAGATAATTAATTATCGACTGCACTTCGGTCTTTTTAGAATTAGTACGACGATATCTCACATTGTCCATCCGGTGAACAGGAAGCCGTCCAACCACGGCCTTCTGGGAGCCATGTCGATCAGGAATATTGCCACAACATGGTAATTCGACCCCGGCGGGAGCCTTGCCCACGCCGACGCGAGCGAGCGCGACGACGGCGCAGGTCTCCACGTGGTTTCCTAGTCTTAATGATTAGCAAATGCATATAATTTTATTTTATATCCTATTTTGCACGGTTTGCATATAATTTTAACATGAAAATGGAAAATGGTAACAAAAATGAAAATCTGTAAAAAATGAAATGATTAAATGCGCTGCAAGAGGAGCAAACGTGTCCTAAAGTCGACAAATTTTACACTTTCCAAATTTCTTGGGGGTTTTCTCCTCTTTGGATGCAAATATCTCGGCCAAACGTGCCCATTGCGAGATCATCTTTTGCAAATTTCATATTAACTTCACTTCACATTAATGCATTTTTGACACACTTTAGTTATAAAAAAAGTGATATTTGTCAATTTGTTTGAAAAATGATTTTTAACAATAATTTCTGAAAGATGCATTTAACCAGTTTTGCATAATGAAAATTTCCTTGATTTTGTTACATTTCTGAAAACATGATCTTTAATTGTGAGGATTTGAAACCGATACTGGTATTATTCTTATTTGGGAATGAGCAACTTATTTATTGTGTTTATGAATGAATTCGTAGTATTCTTATTATTATTATCGTAAGTAGTATGAGGGGGCTAGAATTTGACCTCAAAAAAGGGGTTATGCACATATCACGTCGCTAAAAGTGGTGCAAATGGAGCGTGCAAAGATGCCTTGACATGGAAACGGTTATGCACATATCACGTCGCTAAAAGTGGTGCAAATGGAGCGTGCAAACATGCCTTGACATGGAAACGGTTATGCACATATCACGTCGTTTAAAGTGGTGCAAATGGAGTGTGCAAAGATGCCTTGACATGGAAACGGTTATGCACATATCACGTCGCAAGAAGTGGTCCACATAGAAAATGTTATGCACATAGTGTATCATGCTATTTATAGACCACGTAACATGCTTATATATTTATATAGTACTGAAGGACCGTGCACGGTTGATGGTAAAAAAGGGCTGTGCACAAATTACGTCATAATATTATTGATATAAAACTTTATTTACTTTTATAGAAAAAACAAATCATAAATTATTTCGAACCTATTGAACTAAGTTTAATAGACCAGCTTGCAATCGATACAAATTTTGTTGATAAAAAAATCACGCACCAGTCTTCATAAAATCTTCAAAATACATTTTAATAAGCTCCTCTTGTGGTTTTAATGGACATGGGATTGTTACGTCAAACGGACGAACCCAATTATCCTTGTACGGAGAGGGTCGAGGTTTACCTTCAATCAGAGCTTTGGAACTTCTTCCATGGGCCGAAACCAAATATTGACCTTCTTTTGGATATAGGGAAAGAAATCCATCACATGTTTCATAAAATGAAAAGGGATTTGAATAAAGCATAGGCTTTACTTTTATCGTTCCATCTTCAGATGATAACTTGCGTGGTATTTTTATCGGTTTTGGTTTCTTAAATTTGTTCAAGTCCTTCCGACGTTTAGTCTTTATCTTTATATTACCCTCCATATTTGATGAGATGTTGTTGCACGATGTGTTGGTTCCATTGGTTGACGTGTGGCATTGCTTCATGCTTTATAGCTTAAGCTCAAAAGCATCACTCAGAATATTATTGTTATAAAAACTTTATTCGCAAATTATTTCGAACCTAGAGAACTAATAGTAGTAGAAGAACTGGCAACTGATGGTGGTAGTGATTCAGTAACTATAACTCCTTGTTTGATAAGTCCTGGTATGGATTTAATAGGCGGTGTGTCGTGGATAATTGGCACTGTTCGATATCCAACAAGCACATCATGCATTGGTTGTGTTACAAGCTCAACAGCGTCATCCAATGTGTAAGGCTGATTGTTTGCCAGGGCATCTACGATTTTGGCTCCATGTTTAACATAACCATGGAGTTCGCCATCATCACCATGAATTAAAACTTCACTTCCAGAAATAAGTAAATCCATTGCAACACCACCAGCAGCTCCACCTACGGCAGCGCCTGCAGGTCCCCCAGCAACAAGCCCAATAACACCGCCAGCGATAACACCAACAGTTCTTGAAGCAGATTTCATGGACTCATCTCCTTTTTCATTTTCTCCCATTGCGTAATGAATTCCCCCCTTAATATGTCCCACTCCTGGCACTTGATCAGCAAAGTCCTGTACAGCGTCCAAAAATTTTTCTTGATGTTCTCTCGCTGTGTCCAGGTCCCCACCGATCGCATAGCCTGCAGAAACCAGCTGAGATACAACTGGAATCCCGCTAGTTTTGTCAAGAAATTGTTCTTGAAGTTCACGAGCTTTATCCAGATCTCCAGCAATAGCATAAACAGCAGAAGAGAGCTGGGAAACGATTGACAAGTCATTTTGGAAAATAAAGTCTTCTTGTGTCTTTCAAGCTCCTTCTAGATCACCAGTTATTGCGAGGACCGCAGATTTAGCTTGAGATATAATTGGTATGCTATTAATACTCCCCATGTTTACAGGACGACGTCAAAATTAATACTGACGTATTTATAGTGTCGTGCTTGATTTATAGTATGGTTGATTTATAGTATAGTATTGTATGCCAAGAGCGCACGTTAATTGCTCCTTAAGTACTTTTTCAACAATTTCGTCAATGGCGACAATAAGGGCAGTATTGTTATTAACTTGAAATTGGCTATTTGAATGCTGATTTTCAATTACAGCGTAAAAACACATTACGCAAAGGAAAATTAAATTCGTTACTAAGATTATGAAACTTAGCCAAAATAGATCTTTTGGAGCGCAAAACAACGCCATATTTACTCGTTGAAAGTCAGATTAAGACTGATCATTTATATAAAGGTTGAGCCCACTGTAAAGGCATTTGTCAGCTAGATTTACAAGTGACAACATGTCGTCGTTTTACATTCACCTGGAAAGTAATTCTTCGTATAATCATTTCCAGGACAATACAGTAACAACGTTTAGGAATTGGATGAGTACGCCTATAATATTAGAGCCAAACCAATTCGAAATAGCTTTAGTGGAATGTTCCTATCCATCTACACCAATTCAATTTACTAAAGGAACACGATTATTCAGATTTCAGGAAGAAAGCAATTCACTTTACATGGATAATTCTGACAATTGGTTCAATATAATTGCTTCCATAGACATTAAAACAATTGACGAGCTAGTTCAGTGTCTCAATTGCCAAATCAAATTCAAATTGAAGGACGGATTTGTTAGCTTAGAGCCTGTTAGTCAAGTTTTGTACAAACTTGAATTCGCGCCCGAAGTTGCTTCCGTTCTCGGATTAACTGAATCAATTACTTTGGATGATCAGACAGTTAAATCCAAACATCAAATTAGTCTAAGTGCAAATAACACACGTTATTTCGTTTATTGTGACGTAATTGAAAATCAGTATATTGGCGATACAACAGCGCCAATGCTGCGTTCATTTGTGCATGTGCCCACTCAACAAGATGTCATAGTTTCAAAAAGTTTCAACAACTTACAATATGTTTCGTTGGCCAGGAACGAATTTGACTCTATACAAATGTATATAAGGAACGAATTCGCGAAACCCCCGCCATTTACTTTTGGTAGTTTCAGTGCCACACTTCATTTCAGAAGAAAACGTATGTAGTGAAAATGTATTCCTGTCTGGACAATGTGGATGACGACTTTTATGAGGTGTATTTACCTCAAGTCGGTGGTTCACTCGCCTATAAAGCTAGTTATTATCGACAGAAGGGAGCAGGTCTTGGTGGAATATTTGGAGCCATAGGAAGAAGACTATTACCCTACGTCAAAGCAATCCTTCCACATGTAATACCATCGCTTAAAACTGCGGTGAAAAACATTGCTTCAGACGTAATTAACGACAAACAGTCGTTTCGCAGCTCTTTAAAATCAAATGCCATGGAAGCTTTAAAAGGGGTTGGAAACAGTTTGGTGACTCAGTCTGGTACTGGAGTTAAACGACGAAGGACAGTGAAACGGAACCCTAAGAAACGAAAAGTTGTTCGCAAACGTAAAATAGTGAAACGAAAGCCTTTAAAACGGCTCAAACGAAAACGTGCAAAAGGAGTTACACGAAAACGGAAAGCAAAGCCAAAACGAAAACTAATTTCAAAAAACAGTTTATTTGACTAAAAATGGCGAAAGCAAAGAATGTGGTTAACTTTATCCGATCAGAGACAGATCTCTTTTCGGAGCCCGGGTACGATTTAACTCTTTCAAGCTCTAATCGTGTCGATTATCATCCAATTACAAATATACAAGACCGATCCACGCCGCTAACATTCATTATTCAAGGAAATGATTTGCAGTACATTGATTTCTCAGAAACTCAATTGTACATTCGTTGCAAAATTGTTGACAGTAAAGGAGCTGGACAAACTTCAGCAAATATTGCTCCAGTTAATAATTTTCTACATTCAATGATACATTAAGTAACCATTCTTTTAAATGATGTACAAATTACTCCGCCATCAACCTTATACCCTTATAAAGCGTTCATGGAAACTTTCCTTTCTTTTGGGAAAGACTATACAAAAACCCAAGCTCAAGCAGCTCTCTACAGCAAAGAAATTGAACCTACTACAGACGATGCAGGATGGATTAGTCGTGAATCTTTGAGCCATAACAGCAAAGTGTTTGAAATGTGTGGAAAATTGAGATGTGACATTTTCAATCAAAATAGGTATTTAATTCCTGGTGTTGATGTGAAAATAGTTTTAAACCGATCGCCAGATAACTTTTGTCTGTTGGGAAAAACACCAACCGCTGGTTCTACGCTTGATCAAGCTCAAGTTCATATAGTTGAAGCCAAACTTGTTGTTCAAAAACATACGCTCTTCCCATCGATTACGTTAATTCATTTAAAACTCTTGGATAAGGGTCAACCAGCTTGTTATCCTATGCGAAGAGGAGATATCAAATCATTCTCTCTTTCAGCTGGAACGTTGCAATATACAAACGAAAGTTTAATCACTGGCTTGCTTCCAGAACGATTAGCAATAGGAATAGTTTCAAGCAAAGCTGTTCATGGAAATTATCTGGAGAACCCATTCAATTTCATCCAGGCTGACATTTCGAGTATTTCAGTGACTGTGAATTCGGAACAAGTTACTTCTCAAACATTCGAGCTTGATTTTAACAACAAGAAAAGTATTGAGGCCTACTTCAGTGTGTTTTCTGGACTTGGTCTCTCAAATATTGACGCGGGAATCGACTTGACGTTTGAAACTTTTAAGAACGGGAAAACCATATATATTTTTGATCTACGTCATCAACATGATGGGTTCGCTATTCCTCGTCATGGAAGTGTGAAAATTGAAATTAAACTTAGACAAGCGATAACATCAGCCCTAACTGTAATTTGTCACTGTGACTATCAATCAGTGCTCTATATTGACAAGAATAGAGACGCGTATTTCAAGGACTTTACAACATGAATACTGTACAAATCTACAAGATATTATCTGGACTCTTTTGTTCAACTAGTGTTACGTACAATGTCTTGGCTTGTGATGAACTGGATTCGTTTGAAACAAAGAAATATCCAATTGCACTAGTTGTAAATAATAAGCCTTCTTCTCATCCTGGGGAACACTGGATCAGCTTGTTTTGTCCAAGTTCCAGTTCGCCAATTAACATGTTTTGCAGCTATGGACTTGGGATTGAAGCTTACTCGCAACATTTTCAAGATTTTGTGGACCGACACGGGAAAGGCTTAGTTCAGAATAATGTGCAGTTACAATCGCCATATAGTGCAGTGTGTGGTCAATATGCTATATACTTTTTATGGAAACGTGTTAGTGGTTACTAATTAGCCAGCGTTTATTGTAATTTTTCAAATGATTATGGTAGAAATGATAGATTAGTTAAACAATTTCTAAAGAACAAGTTGTATTTATTGAATCGAAAGTGTAAACATTGTAACATTAATCAAAATTCAATAAAATATTTGTTAAATTAAAATTTTGTCCATCGCACAATTCTTGGCATCCTTTTGACTTGACGTTTCTTGACTCGTTTCATGCTAGTCATCCTTCCAGCCCCAGTCTGTTTTCTGTTAAGAATGGCATTAACACTTGCTGGGAATAGGTCAATTGGAGGCTTTTTGCTCTTGATGAACTTTAAAAGCTGCATGACTGATGGATCAATCATAGCAGTTGATTTTGCACTTAGTCCATTGCACAAAGCTCTAGGGAGTAGGTCACACCGCCAACATCAACTTTATCGCTACTAATAATTGCTCCATGCTCTTTCAGAAAATCCAAGATTCTCGATCCACGCGCTGTCGTCTTACTCAATAGTTTGTTTATTGTAGTTGTAGGCAAGGATTTTTTAGCGAGCGATTCAGCTGAAAATGCAGGTTTCTCCGTTTCTACGTTCTTGACAAGCAGTGGTTTCTTGTCTTGTTCATTTTTTCTGTCAATAATCTGACGATTTAAGTTCTGCAGCAAAAGTAGCTTGATGTCATCAGTCAAATTGGAATCTTTAAACAGTTGATTTTTCTGATCTTTTAGCTTATCTTCTAGATCAAGTTCGAAATCCTTTTGCGAGTTGAGTGCCAAAATCTTCTTGTACCATGATTCTGGCACAATTTTCATTTTCTGGGCCATAATGCCGGTCCAAGAATAGCAAGTGTTTTAACAATTGTTCCCAGCAACGGTAGAAATCCGCCAGATTGGTTCAGGAATTTCTTTCTTGCCTTTATACTTGGCCTTTTTGCAGTCAATTTAAGTAAGCTCGATTTGAATGGCAACAGCTTGTTCTTTTTGCAAGGTGTGACTGGAATGTTTTTGTTGCACAAATTGACGCACAGCTCGCAAATTGAACGTACTTCTTCTCCACTGGCCTTATTTATTAGTTTCTTTCGACGCTGCGGTTTGGCGCTACATACGCTTTTGAGGAATGCAGCGTTAGCGACTATACGATTCTTAGCCATCTTGTTCAACTGAACTGGTCCAGTATAAATACTGCCCTATTTATACGTTGGAGAGATTAGTTCATCATGGAACTTCAGCCAATATGGAGTCAAACATTAAACGTGCCTATCTTAACCCAAGATTCCCAGGCAGCTTTAGCGGACTGACAGGATTTAGAAAGTCTGGAAACCGAAAAGAATCCGTGAAGCAAATTGAAAACGTTTTGAAAACAATTCCTGCTTACACTTTGCATCGATCAAGACGAATTCATTTCCCTAGACGAGTTGTTTATGCTCCTTATATAAACGCACAGTGGGGAATGGATTTGATGGACATTTCTAAATTCGCCAAATCAAATAACGGAATGCATTTCCTTTTGACTGCAATTGACATATTCAGCAAACGTGGTTATATCCAGCCTCTGAAGAACAAAAGCGGAATTGTTGTGAAACAAGGAATTGAAAAGATATTTCAACGAAGTTACGGAATCCCTAATCGAATTCAAACAGACATGGGTTTAGAATTCTATAATTCTAATTGCAAAGAATTAATGGACAAATATAAAATAAATCTATTCTCAGTTCAATCAGAATTAAAATCATGTGTTGTGGAACGTTCCAACAGAACTATTTTGGAGAAGATTTATCGTTTTATGACACATAACAACACTCAAAAGTTTGTAAATAGAATTAGAGAAATAGAAAATTTGTACAATAAGTCATATCATAGAAGTATAAAGTGTCGACCGATTGACGTTGTGCCAGCAAAACAGAGTGAAGTGTATAAGAATTTATATGGACATTTGACTGATATGAAGGACTTGAGAGCAGAGATATTTAAAGTGGGTGATATAGTTTTAATTTCTAAAGTGAAGAAGATATTTGAGAAAGGAGCAGCAACAAATTTCCAAGCGGAAAAGTTTATCATTGACAACATTAGACAAACTGTTCCCCGCACTTACATTCTTAGTGACCAGTCTGGTCAGATTCTGGAAGGTGGTTTCTATAGAGAGGAACTACAAAGAATCAGCCATTAGAACCATGGCTGCGTTAAGAAACTATCTCGGAACCATTTGTGATTCCATTAAGCAATTCAAATCAAACTGTTGTATTTATATTAGATCTACCTGTTGTTCGTCTAAATCTGTACTAAAATCGGGTAAAGAATTGAATTTTGCTGAAATAGAGTTTGCTGTCAATCCCGTTAGAAAGCTAAAATGTGATTTTTGTTACAAATCCTGTCAATTTTACGTTAGTGATGAGGAAGAACCCAGATGGATTCTCATGTGCTTAAAATGTCGAGTTGTCTACATGGAAAAGTACCCAGAGTTAAAAATAACTTTATGAGCAAAAACGTTTTAGTAGTATAAAAAGCTGACTCGCAGCTCATAATCTATCAGTCACAATGGCGGGCCCACGCAGCGATTTTGGAAGGAACACTACAGCAAAGGAGGAAACTCCGAAAAATCCATTTGATCCAGCTGGAATTGTACTTGTTGTTGACGAAGGAATTCGCGATGGCAGACCTACATTTCGTCTCAAAAGAAAGGGGAAAGTTGTGGAGCTCAATCTATCAGATTGTTTCAATTTGATTGAAAAAATACTACTTGGAAGACTACGCTCAATGGAAGAGCTTGATCAGCTGTTTAAGCTGATGAACGACAAATTTCCAACAAAAGTTTCAAAATTGTTGTTTGCAGAAGCTGCAGCGAACAAATTTGAAGAAAAGAAAGCAAGCAACACAGAATACGTCGTCTGGCTAAGTCGTTTCGACCACATGGACTATGTCTACGTCAAAAGTGGAAATTCCGTCGTAAACTTTAATAGTTTACTAGTTGTTGAAACTCTAAAGAAGATTGTACAAATGTGCTTCACAAATCTGGAGAAGGACATTGGATGTTACATTGACTTCTTTTCAAAATTTTCAAATTTGTTGACAAGCGTTGTCACATATTTTCCAATGATTGTACAATTGTCATCATACAAGGAACTTGAGATCAAGATATACCACAACATGGGACAAAACGAATTTCGTGATAAGGCTCCTCCGATATTTTACTTGGTCAATGATTGGATCATGCCAATTTCTCTAACTCCAAGAGTTAAAAAGAAAAAAGAAACGGAAGGACTCGCTTATCCATGGGGACAAACAATTCTTCGCGCTACAGACCAACGAGGACAAGAATGGATAAAGTACCTAGTAAAAGACTCGTTTTCACTTTACGGTGTCGCATTTGATGAAGGTGACATGTTTTAGCTTTTTTGTGTTTTGAAATAAAAAATCAATTTGAATTGTATTTTGCATTTCGTTTCAAGAATCTCATTTTAAGAATATATACTGCATACATCTCTCGTCATAGCTCATTCGTAATTTGACTGTCAACATGGATAATGCTGCAAAATCATTCTTTTGTCATCCACTAATGTTTATTTTTGGCGTTATAACATATATCTGGATGACAATATATATGTGCGCATTTGTCTTCTATACTCATTTGTTCATTCTGTGCTTGCAACAACAGAGAAATATTTCTTTGTGCAACGTAACATTTTTATACAACGAAACGTTTTTAAAAAGTTAGTCAACGTTCGGCTGTCAGCTAGCAAACATCACAAAATGGATTCACTCGTGATGCCTTTCCAACCTGTTGGAAATAAGTATAAAAAACGGGAACACGTTAAAACCAATCAGGTGGTAGCAAAAAAACCGAAACTGGTTCAACAAGCCATGGAGAATTGTTTGCAAAACCTGAAATTAACCGAGAAAGTACAAAAGCCAAAATTGGTTGAAATTGCGACTGGAGGAGTATTACAGTTGTATTTGAAGAAGGGTTGCTACATGTTTGATAAACATGATCATCCAACGTTTATTCCAAAAACAAGTTTTGTGCTTATGAACGATACAGGTCGCATAGAATTTGATAAAAGTCAGTTACTGCACTTATCAATCAATCTACTAAAAGCAGCCATGTTGGACCCAGAACTGGATTTAACTGAATTCAAGACAGCTGTAGAGCTAATTTTGAGGGGAGGAAAGTATCAGCTAATGAGCCATCAGACAATGGTGCAACGTTTTGATGCCAATCGAACAGCGCCATTAAACGGAGCCGAAAACATAATAAAAACTATGTACAAGGAGTATATTCAACGTTTCCAGAAACCCCCAACGAAGAGGATACCCAATCATAAAAAAGGACAAGAATTAAAAGCGAATTCAAACCAGTGAAACTTTTGTGAAATAAATTATATAAGATCATACGTTTTGATTTAATAAAAGCTCAACAACTTCAGTAACCAAACATAAAAAGCATCAGCAGTGCTCAACTTTGATTTAGTCATCATCATGGCGTCTACAGACGAGGAACTTATTGTTGCCTCAATTATTATTAAATCGCGCTCAATTTATAATAAAGACATGATCCTTCTCCACTCTAGAATAAAATCTTTCGACGGGGCAAATTTAAATATCAAACAAACACCGGAACAACTTGCTGAAGCTGGTTTTTATTACATGGGATCAGAAGATAAATGTGTCTGTTATTATTGTGGACTTGGTGTTTACAAGTGGCAGCCAGAAGACGATCCATGGTTTGAACATGCCTTGCTCTCTGATATTTGTGAATTTTTAAACTTGAAGAAAAGTGATCTGAAATTTCAACTTGGTGAAACTCACCCAACTCTTGCGGTCACTACAACCTCAGATCCATTAGACATTTATCTATGTAAAATTTGCAAAACCAGTCAAGCAAATCACGTGAACATTCCGTGTCGTCATTTGGTTAGCTGTTTAGAATGTACAACTACACAAGATACATGTGCAGTTTGTCGGATGTATATAGATGGATTTGTTAAAATTTTCATATAAGTGAAGGGGTCAGTAACCTCTGAAAACGTTTTGATAGTGCCAATAACTTCTGACGTTTTGATAGTGTCAATCCTCTATAAACGTTGTGAAAGGGTCAATAACCTCTGACGTTTTGATAGTGCCAATCCTCTACAAACGTTGTGAAAGGGTCAATAACCTCTGACGTTTTGATAGTGTTAATCCTCTACAAACGTTGTGAAAGGGTCAATAACCTCTGACGTTTTGATGTGTCAATAACCTCTGCAAACGTAGTGAAAGGGTCAATAAACTCTAACCGAGTATAAAAAGGAGCAGCAAAGCTCAACTTTTGTCAGTCTTTTACCGGCATCATCATGGAGAACATCAAAGGTCAAATTTTACCCTGCAATACAGGCGTTCTCGAGTCTTTTGTAAAGAGTAGTGCTTTCAAAGATTCGCCTTTTGGACCTGTTCACCTCCTCGCTGATCGTGTTGTTATACGGAACAATCTTGGACAATTGAAATTGAAAAAGAGAAAGTTCTACATTTGGTTCTGAACCTACTGGCAATTGCTCGTGATACACCAACACTTCAAGACCATCTCGGTTATTTTGTGAGCGAGTGTCAAAGTTTGGTTGAAGATCACAACAATTTTAAAATCAAAAAAGGTGTTTACGCCAACAAACCGGATTTACCTCAACAATATTGCCCGAAATCGTTTTTGTTTTCAAAGTGGGGTGAAGTTTCAAAATATCAGCCAAACGTTTCGCCACCAGATTCAAGAGATGAGAGAGTAATCAAACACAAGTTTATTGCTGCTCGACTGCTCGTCATTGGTGACATTACTGGCTACCGAGAACATAGAGGCTGCCCATCGACCATCTGTACCGAAGACGTAGCTGGTCGCGTTTGTGACGTTTGCTACCATATGCCAGAGGCTCACTCGGCGTGGGAGGAGCCAGAACGTATGCCGCAGGCATAAACTATCTCTGATATATATGCCGGAGGCATAACATATGCAAAGCATAACCTATCTACGATATATATATATATATATATGCCAGAGGCATAGGCGTGTGACCTCCCTCCCCCTTTACGACTACTGATTCAAACATTTGTGTCATGATGGCGACCTCGTCAACATTGTTCGACTGTGACGAAGCACTAAATCTATTTGATGACTTAATTCAACAACCAAGTGACGAACCAAATAATAAAAAACGAAAATATTCGCCTCGGAAAGGTTCATACTCCATGAAAACCGAAGTTATTCAAGGAAGTACGTTCATCACAATCAGCCAAGTTTTTGGCGAAGCCGAAAACAAGATTCATATTCAACCATCAAGCGTCCCCGTTCTTTTGAAAAATTTGATTGATTTCTCCGTCAATGCCTATCGAAAATCTCTTTTGGACCAAGTGGGTCATGATGGAGTCATCCCCAATGAAAAAAGTGCGAATAGGACCCGCAATCCTGTTCTACATTGAAGATGAGCATGAAATTGAACAACAGCGCCAACAATTCAAGAAAATCTGGACAAATCGTTTTGCAAGATTTTGTGCTTGGTGTAAAAAATATTTAAAAGACGTTAAAATTACAAATTTATAATTTATTTATTCAAACTTGTATAAACTGTACAATTTTCCGGAAATAAACTAGATCTTATCCTTAACTTATCATCCTGCGTTTGGCTCAAGTCTATTACTAAATATCCATACGGCATTTTCATAACATCAGTTAGAGCATATTGCAAAATTGGATGATTTCGTCCTCCATTCATTTGTCGACCTAATTTGCTAACAAAAGTTGTATCTCGTGGATTTTTTAGAGCAACAATATATTTTAAATTCAAAGTAATACTTCTAGTTTTCCCCTTTTCAAAAAAGTTTTGAGTTAAAAAATTATTGAGACATTATTGTGATGGGAATAAACACTAAAGGCTTTAACCATTTCATCTGAGCGAGAAATTTCAGTCATTAAGTCATCCAAAACTAAAATTAGCGCCTCTCCATCATCACTAATCACATTGGGCAGTCCTTTTTCAAATTCAATATGTGGTATATCCTCTCGAATCTGCTCAAATAACTTTGGCTGATATTCCTGATAGCAATACTTCACATTATTTACTGGCGGATCCAAAAGCTCCATGCGGCGAGAAAGCAGCTTTGCAGTCAAAGTACTTTTTCCTGATTGAGTTCCCCCAACAATAGCCATTGTGAAGGGGGTTTTTAGCGTAATGTCAATGTCACCCTCCATCATACATACATGGGAATATCTTTGTGTCCGTGTGCTAGCGTAGTCAAATGATCAATGACACAACGTTTCGTATCAAAGCCATTAAGACCCTTCTTCATAGCTGTATTCGTTCGAAGGGCGTGTTTACGGCTTAGAATTGATTTAATCACCACACTAGTTTGAATATTTTCGTCCAAGACTTTCCAATATTAGTCAAAAGTGATTTGATTGGCAATTGCGGCTTTCTTGATTCCCTTGGCCACTTTTTTGGTATGTATGGTCATCTTTCCGTTTTCAATTGAAAGTGCTTGAGCTCCGTACATTTTTGGTTTTGATGCTGCAAATCGAAAGATTACACTTTTTGGCATTTCGTCCTTCATCTTTCCGAGACGCTTCTTGTTTTCTTGATTATTTAAGTGAGAATGCATTCCAGCATAATCACTCAAGTCAAAACGTTCCTTGTTCTCCACCATGTCTTGGTAAAAATCACGAGTTTCCACGTGATAGACCAGTGAATCCGTATCACCGTAAAGAACTCTAGCTTTGTCACCATACTTTTCCTTCATGTAATGGTAGTGGAACTCGTACATGAAGCATTTTGAAATTTCTAGAATGGATATTCCAACAGCGACTGGTTTATCCAAAAGCACTTGAGTCACTTTCTTGACAGCCAGGTGCACTTTATCGTTAATGGTAATAATCCGCTCATAAGTCGGTTTGTTTACAATCCTCTTGAGCTGCTTTTCTGTGGTAACGACTGAAATTGACATCCGTTTCCTCTTTTGTTCTATTGTTTTCCCAAAAGATGCGTTGTTAAGCTGAAAGTACACTATGTATAAGTATGTTTGAAATACTAATAAAAATTGTTTATGATTGAATTACTTACCAACTTAAAAAAGTCTTTTTCAAAGTCTGTCGTTGCTTGTTTCCTCATTTCTGTGTTAAACAGAATAAAGGCTTTCATCCAAGCCCGCTGAGAAAATTTAACGGCGCGATGTATTCTAGTAATTACAAGTCCAAGCTTGATGTACATCTTCAAGTTGCGATAATGTGTCACATAGTGCACTTTTGGGAGCAGGTCAGCTACAAGTTTGGAGTTCTTGAATGTAGACTCGGGAATTTGTAGATCTTGCATCTGTTGAAGCTGATGTGGAGTCAATTCCTCCTTACTGACGCATCTCTTCGTCGGAGCTGGCGGGTAGTCGTTTAACTTATTATGTATGGTTGGCGGTATCTCAAGGTCTACTTCGAAGAAGTAACCAGTCTCAGCGTCGTCTTTGAGTGAATTTACAAAAGCACTTGGATTTGCTCGTACTCTGTCCAGCTCATATTCAGTTAACCACTTGTAGTCTTTTTCGGGAAGGGCTGAACACATTGCAGAACCGTAAAGATTATTAATGTCCAGGAACGAAATATAACTGCTGGTCTTTGTTTCATCGTACTTCTCTCCCATGTACTTATTATTCGCTTCAGCTGCACGAATTCCTCCAACTCCGCACACCCCGCCTCGAAGTGCTGTTTCACACCAGCAATGCATTGTAACATCCACATAGTCCAATTTTGCTTTGCCCATTTTACAACAAGCGTCGTACGCAATCATTGGCAGACTAAAATAGTGCGCCAAGTCCAAGTTGTAAGAGTCCCATAAGATTTCTCTGCTCCTTTCCATACAATCAGCTAGCAACGTCACATCTAGGAGTACGTAGAGATTATGCCAATCTCCAAGATTTTGCACGTCGAAACTCTCCCAGACTTGTTTAGCATGATCATATACTTTCTGATCAAGTGGCTGGTCATTCAGATCGTTGTAAAACTCCTTGATTGGCGGAAGTTGGATCTCTTCAAAATTCGCGGGCGACTGCATATGTGTATATGGATAGGCACCTTTCTGTAGCAGCAAGTCTACATTGATTTGCTGCCCCAACTCTTGAATTTCTTGATCAGTTCCTGCACGGTTGTAAAGTTTCATTATATTTTCTGCTTTGCCGAAAATCTCCTTGGTAAGTTTAAATCGTCAGTGTTGTTTTTCTTTAAAGTGTTTGTAAGATTTTCTAACGAAGAACTCAAGAATGAGTACGAGTCACAAAATCTAATTTGATTTTTCACTGTAAATGACATAAACTTTTCAGAAGAGCACGGTATTATTGTCGCGTCCATCGTCTCGTCGAACGCCTGTAAAAGAAAGTGGGAGTCATATGATTTTAGATTGTGAATAAAACATGGTGATATTGCGCTGATTGATGCCTCCCAGTTACAGCTGTTATGAGCTAAACCAAGGAACTTTCCTGTACAGTGATCATGGTGGAAAACAGCCATGTTGGGTCTGTCTTTAAAATCCCAGGACATTTCTTCCAAGCTTAGTGTCTTAAACTTTTCCCCACAAAAGTAGCATGGATCCAGTTGGGTAGGATCCTCACGTATTTGCTTCTTAAGCCTAGCTTTCAGTTGAGGGCTAATAATCATAGATTTAGAACTTTCACGTTGGAGTTCTTGGATGATTTCTTTACGAAATTTCTGGTCTTCTAGTATATCATCAAAAAACAGCTTGGCTACATTTTTCTCTTCGTCGTCAGTCCGGTACACGCTCCAGTTAACTGCTTTTCCTTCCCAGTCAACACAAACCCAAGCGTAACCTGATGGAATATGATCAGAATCTCCTTCTTCAACCTCTAACCCACTCGCAATCCGTTTTCTACAAGTTTTCTCCTTTCTGACAAATGCTTCGAAATCAGCATAGTAGCGAAACGGGGAACGAACCATTCGATGATACTGGTTGAAAAAGTAGTAGGGTTCTTCCGGTACATCAGTTTTTTGTAATTTCATTTGGTAGCAGAACTCACGATGGTCCATAGCTGACTCGAGTGTAGTGAATGTATTGAGACAATTACGACATGGATGTTGATAGTGTGCACCAGTTCTTAGTAAAGATGATAAGTCCCTGATGAGATTGAAATGGGAATTGTTGCCATCTTCTGTTTCTTCAATAACTAGAAGTAAATCAACCTCGATCAAGTTGGATTTTCTCACTGGTTCACTTCTTTTATTAATTCTGTCCTTTAGTTTAAACTCGGCTATCCTCTGAGACATGTAGAGTGGGAATATAGAATTTCTTATGGCACGGTGAACTGACTTTTTCTGGAGGCTGTTCAACGCAGCAAATGGCTCATCGCGATATTTCCGATATTCTGCTTTTGCTGCGTCTTCTTCCTCATAGCCTAATACACTAATAGCAAAACTAGGATTCTGTTTTTCAAATTTAGGAAGCTGACCAAGCGTCATGGGGAAGACAAGTCCGTCAAAGTTGAGTTTCTTCTGCTTTAACACTTTTTGGTATTCTTTAATATTTTCATCATATCTATAACTGTTTTTACCCCATCGCTTTTTGAATCCACACACATCCTCGTGTGCCAAGCAAGAGTACATGAAGCATTTAAAATCGTCAACGTCATTTACACGATTGTCAATGTTAAGCAGAACACTTTTTTCTTAAATTGTAGCAAATTATTGTTCGGTATATAAGCCCCTGCTTTGAATGGAGCGAAGGGTGAAATGCTGAACTGAAGTTTGGAAATAAAGTCTAAAATCCAACCACTTCCCTTGTTAGTGAAGTCGTTCACTGATTCGATTAACTTGAAAGCAATGCTATTAATTATTTCAGGTATGAAATGACTCTGGCGGATAGTATGTGGATAAGCCTTAAATACTGGGTCCGGATTCGTATGCTTCATTAAATCATTATCATCTTGTTCAATTTCTTCAAAGTTGATGACGTCAGTAGCTAAATACGGACGGACAAAATGTGCCTCCATCTCGGTAGCTATTTTGATGCATCTATGCTCGTCCAGCTCCGTCTGCACAATAGCTACAAGTTCGCTAACAATTAATTTAAAAACATTGGCCACGTCAGTATAAGTGTAATTGTTTGTGTCTAATTTATAAACTCGCACTGTATTTAGCACAGTGTGAGAATGTCGAAGACGGTTATCGAGCCCTTCACCTTGTTGAGTGAAGAATAACGGTTCTGCAGCCGTTGCCCCATGATTTTGCTGATAATGCATATCTAACGATCCCTTATAAGAGAAAACTTGACCACAAATTGTACATTTTCCAGTTTTGTAATCCAGTTTAGATTGTTTTCGAGGGGGTTCAGGTTTTGGCGTAGGAATAGTTGGCAGTGATGGTGATGGGACATCTTGAAAGTCGTTGAGTATAGCAGAGCAGTGACTTGGACAATGTCTTCCAGTACAAAAAGTGCACTTCACACTGTGATGATTTTTACAAATATTGCAAAGTTTAACGATGTCAGGTTGAGAAAAAGGTGTGGAGTTAACGGCGGTATTTGTGCATACATTAGCACAATGAATTTCAGCACAAGATTCGCAATGAACAATATGGAATTGTCCACAAGAATCGCAGAAATTTTCCCAAGGTGTTGTATCCATCTTGAAGTCTGATGGTAGAATGAGATTTAAAGTTATTGACCTGGGCAGTTTAATCATTTTCTTGAAAAGTAGGTTTTAAATGGATATTTCTGAGAATTATTCATTACTGGAGCCAAAAGTCAGGTGTATTTCTAAGAATTATTCATTACTGGAGTCAAAAGTCAGGTGTATTTCTGAGAATTAGATGCCCCAGCTGCATTTTTATTCCTAGCGAGCCAAAATTCTTGGAAATCCTTTATGTATAAATATAATTTCTTAAAATAGTGACCCTTCAGGTGTACACCTGCATTTCTTGGAATTGTAGGTGTATAAGAGTGACCCCAAAATTAATGCTCATTTCTTGGAATTGTAGGTGTATAAGAGTGGCCCCAAAATTAATGCTCATGTCTTGGAATTGTAGGTGTATAAGAGTGGCCCCAAAATTAATGCACATTTCTTGGAATTGTAGGTGTTGAGACCCTAAATTAATGCTCATCCAGGTGTATAAGAGTGACCCAAAATTAATGCGCATTTCTTGGAATTGTGGTTGACCCTAAATTGTCCTGGTTGTCTCCTCACAATACTGAAAGGTTAGAAAAGGGTTCATCCTTCCTTGCAGCTTTTTACCCTTCCCCTCGTCGTGATAGCATGTAGGCTCCACTCTATATTTCCTCAATTACTTTCATCTATTTTTAACTTTCTATTCCTTCCACCATACCGCATTTTCCCTAATTCTGTCAATTTCTCCTCAGCATTCGCCATTACAACATTTAGAATTCACAATTCCCGTTTCCCCACGTTCCAGTCTCAAATTCCCTACGTTCCCTTCTCAAGTTTTACCATGTCGACGTACTCAAGGTCAACTCCAATAACTTCGGTTAAATTGTACGACATAAAATATCAAGAAATATTTTCGTATCGAAATTCTGATAGAATTACTGTATGCTATATTAGTTTCCACAAAGACTTTACCAAGATTATGAAGTGGTTAAGTGAAATACGCGAAGCTAAAATTGATATTACAAAATATCAGTTTTACAACAAAAAATCAAAAGTAATTCAACATATCTTGATCAAGTTGGTGAAAAGAATCTCTAACGAAAAACTCCGGATTTGTCTAGGAAAAAGATTGGAAAGACTTCGAGATTTATTTGCAAGTTTTTTTTTTAAATTTATTTTTTCACTAATTCCTAATTTCTATCTCAGCAAAGGCTTTATTTTTTCACTAATTTCTAATTTCAACCTCACCAAAGTAACATTTATTAGGATAGGTTTTATGAGCACATCATCCTAACTCGAGTTTTTTTACAATTCTTATGTTGCAATGTCCTGACAAATCCTGATTAAACTCGTTAAATTTTTAGTATTTTTGTTGCAATGTTCTGCAGTATACTGATAAATTTATGAGCATAATTTTTTATCAACCTCACCGAACTGTTTTAGTTTTTAGTATTATTTTGTATATAATAATAATTTACCTTATCGCGAGAAGAAAGTCATAGTTGCAGAAGAAATAATGCATACTAGTAGAAATTGTTTTACCGTCAAGGGATGAATCAATACAAAAAAATTTAAAAACTGCTGTGCATGTTATTTCAACGTTCGCCGGTGTTCGTAATGACGACAGGAAGCCATTGGTCGTACAGTCATATGCTCCAAAAGAGTCGTCAGGTCCATCACCGCTCACATCATACGACCGTAATAAATCCTGTGCTTTGCTTGTAGTGTAAGCATGGTCGACGTCAGAATCCCATTTCAATCTGGCCCAAAGTTTCTGATGGTCCGGTCTCCATTTTGAGACAGGATTTTCGTCGCCAAAAATTGTTGTGGTTAATTGGTCAAGATATTTTTCTCCCCAGCCTCGCCTTAAGACAGCTACCGAAACTGCTTGGAAAACCTATAATAGATCCAAATTTAAAATAAGTAGAAACCCTTAGTAAAAAACTAAACTTAGATGAGTTTGGAATGAAAAGTGAGACAATTCTTAGGGAAAAAAATTAAAAAATCGTTATATAATAAAAATCGTTATATAATCAATAAAAATAAAGCCTTTGGTGAGGTTGAAATTAGAAATTAGTGAAAAAATAAAGCATTTAATTATTTCATTTTTTACAGATTTTCATTTTTGTCCCCATTTTCATGTTAAAATTATATGCATCAAATATTTGCACAAATATTTGGATTTACACAATCCTAACAATCTTAACATAGGGCTTGATTACTGATCATCAAAATTGCCAAAATCAAAACATTTTTAATCATTTTTCGGCTCTGGGAATTTATTTTAAAATTATGCCGACAAATTTTTAAGGCAGGGAGTTGCCAAATTTTCAGAAATATACCAGTCTCTGAAAGCTTTAGAAAAATTGGAACTAACCGAAAATAGTTGACCTTAATTTGTTAAACACTCATCGCCGTCCGTAACTACGTATTTATAATATTTATTATAACCACATTGACCAAATAAGTATAACTTGGCTTTAAAATATTCCAATTTCCATATTTTTTATAACAAATTCAAAAAAATCGATTCACCATACAATGGGATGAATAATTTCGTGTTTTTCACCATAATTCATAATACACCGCGAGTTGCTATTTGCTGTCTTCGTTGCCCAACTTTAGGTCAAATTTTCTGAAAATTTTCTAAAAATTGCGAATATAACTCGATATATTTATGTAATAAATTTGAATAATTCAAGAGGGAAATTTTGAAAAATATCATTCTAAGCATTAAAAAAATACTATTAAAAAACTGAGTTTTAAAATTTATAAACTATTCAAAAATATATATTAAACTTAAAAAATTTCATCACATTTAAATATATCGGCGGATGAATATTAGCGCCGGCGCGGGTTACTACGCTGGATTTTTCAGCAGTATTTTCTTTTAGGAACGAGTAGTTTAGCTCGCATCTGCGAACCACTTTTATAAGCCCGTCGGCCAATCTTAATCTGCCCCCAATCTTGCGGGAGTCAAAAAAGCAGATACACACATACACATCAAGTGGCTATTCTTTAGCTGATTGTAAAAATTTAATAAATTATTTAAAATTCCTTAATTAAAGCGACGACAATTTTCAACATGATTTCGACGTCTCTTTTGAAACAATGTGTGCGTCGGTATTGTCTCGGTGCGCGACAAACTTTAGCAGTTCGGGATCGAATTCGCGACAAGAGGGAGCAAGGCCAACCTGGGCGGTGGGGTCAAGAGGATAGAAACACAGCATAAAAAGGTCACTTGTTTATCAGCATATTTTAGCTTATCAAAATCCAAACTACTTTCAACCATTTCCGTTTAAAATAATAATACGTGCAATTGTATTTATTACACCATTTTTTTAACAAAGTTTATACTTTGTTCCTTATTGTTTTCAAAATTGTCATTTTATTTTGTTATTTAGGGAAAACTCACTGCTCGAGAACGTGCCCATGTTCTCTGTGACCCTGCAACGTTTACAGGTACTGGTAGTGCTCACGTCAATTTAATTGAATTGCAAATTTTATTAAGTTTCATTTCATTTGCAGAATTTGACATGTTCATGAACACACTTGTGCAGATTGGAGAAATAATAGGTTCGAGTTTCGTGTCGAAATTTTCGTAAATTTTACGGATAAACTGACCAAATCTTTATTTTAGTATCCGGGCGATTCCATCGTGATGGGGAAAGGGCTCATCAACGGAAGGATGACCTACATCTTTAGCCAAGATTTCACCGTTTTTGACGCACACGACCCTGTCCTGAGTGGCGTATAAAGCCTTCGAAAATGATATCGATGCTCTTCTCAATATACGGTATAAGAATAGCAAAATTTAATACTTATGCAAATTAAGAAGTAATTAATTAACTAAATAATTGCATGCGATAACAAATGAGTAGTGAAATTACTTGTTACTTATTTAAATTCTACTCAACATGCGGTAAAAGAATGGCGAGATTTTAACTTAACTATGAATTAGTTAATTTAACAAATTAGTCTCTAATTAATTAACTATATTACTAACACGAAATATACGATAAAAAATAATAGCGAACTTTGTAATAATTTAAATAAGTAAAGAGCATTCAACACACGGTAAAAATTGTAAAATTTCGTAATTATACAAATCAACCCAGTAATTAGTAATTAATTCACAACACGGTCATCAATAAACACTGAACCATAATTAATCAAATTTTAAATCCCCAGAGACCTGATGTCCTTCCTCCCCTCGTCCAACCGTGAAGGCGCACCCATCATTGAAGCCGTGGATCCTTGGGATCGCGACGTTCCCATTCTCGATGGCGTCGTCCCACTCGAATCGACACAAGCTTACGACATGGGCGACGTCATCCTCGGCGTGGTCGACGATCGCGAATTTTTCGAAATTATGCCCGCCTACGCCAAAAATATTAAGATTGGGTTCGGCAGGATGAACGGAAGGACGGTCGGGATTGTCGGGAATCAGACTAAAGTGGCAGCAGGTAATTAGCTAACTAACTATTCATAGGACTAGATGACTTATCAACAAAATGGTCAAAATCAGCACATTTTCAATCATTTCTCGTCAGCCTTTACAATTGCAAAATTATTCTTTTACAATATAATAAAATATATATTATATGATTATATGAACACGAATCCACCTTAACGTACTGATATTTTTTTTCAGGCGTACGATGGTGCTTACGACGTCATGTCATCCAAACATTTACGCGGCGATGTCAACTACGCCTGGCCGACGGCCGAAGTTGCCGTGATATCATCGAGCCGAGAGCCACACGGAGGAGAATTTGTCAAGATTTGGATGCTCTAGCCAACAAAAAATTGACTAATCCGTGGAAAAAAACATGGAAATATTCTATTGTAAAATATTTAGGATAGAATAAATTCATGACAAATTTTATTTTGGTTATGAAATATTCTATAGGAAAAATTGAATCTGAACAAATTTAGACTATTTTACGGCCCAGAGTTTATTTTGTGATATTTCGAAAATAAATCCGATCATAACGAACGCTAATTGTTATCCGTATATTTGTGTGGTGTAATTATTTGTCCGCATTTTTTTGACATTTTGCTTGTCATAATTCCATTAAATTTGAAAACAACCAAACGTAATTGTTATTTTTCTGCGACTTTTGTACGGGTGTAATCTGCGCATATTTTATTTTCTGGCTTAATTTTGCTCGTATTAATTTTACTTCATAATTGCGCAACTCAATTATTAAGGGGTGAAAGCCCTTTATAAGATCGTTATGTCCGTCTGTCCGTCCGTCCGTCTGTCTGTCCGTAGCTCCGATAACTTTTGAACGAAAAGACATAGACACTTGAAATTTTGAACGTAAACTCCTAACGTCAATGGACAGGAAGAGTTCGAAGATGGACACTGTGACATCGTCACCTGTGACGATGACGTCGTCACAGTGACGAAAAGTGACGAAAAAGTGTCACGTGTCAGTTTTGACATGTGACACATCATTTTTGACTATTTTTCAATGAGGAATTCGAAAATTCATGTCATTTTGTGTTTGGACGTCACCTGTGACGAAGACATCGTCACAGTGACGAAAAGTGACGAAAAAGTGTCACTTGTCAGTTTTGACATGTGACACGTCATTTTTAACTATTTTTCAATGTCAAATTCAATGGTGACCTCCATTTTGACCTCAGAGGTCATGTAAAGGTCATAGGACATATCTATTTCAATTTCAACTGAAATTTAACCCCGAATTCATTGGTGACCTCCATTTTGACCTCAGAGGTCATATAAAGGTCACATAAGGGTTATCAACTGTTAAATTTGACACAAATAAGACACAAAAGTCGAAAACACGTCAGAAGTGTCAATCTTAACAAATTTTCGAACAATTTGATATTCACATTGACGTTTGACACTCCTTTCACCCCTTGGTTACATGCGTTGTAACGGTTTATTATTTTTGTGATTATTTTGTCACGTAATTAGTGCGTATTTTATTTTGTGGCGTAATAATAGGTTAAACAATAATATATTATATAATTAATTTGAAATTATTAAAATCATTAAAATTATAGGGATGAGTTTTCGAGCGCTGAATTTTACGGGTTGTGTACATAAATCGAATCCAAGATAGAATAGACTACCCCCAAAACTACCATCACTACCTTGTTCCATATCGTCATCCATGATCAGTGGTCACTTTTTTGTCCCTGATGATGACAAGTAACAAAAATCCAAAATTTTTACCAATTTTTGCAATCTTGAACGCCGTTATGAATTTATTTAGATAAATTTATATGAAACTATTAATTTTTTGAGGGACTCTTAGATTAAAGTTTGAGTTAGGGAACAGTCTGGGCATCCTAGTGAGCGAGTTGACTTTTTCTCCTCGCCACTTACCAGTAATGTAAATGATTTTTGTCACTAAGACTTCTAATTTGCAGCTAATACAAAATGGATTGATTTCGTTTTGGTGGCAATAAATTCCCAAGTTTGTGCTTTACAATTGCCATGTTGCATAAATTCCATAATAAATCTCGGTGAAAAGTATTGGACTGAAACATGATATGAGTCCATGTTTCAGTTCAATACTTTTCTCTGAGATTTATTATGGAATTTATGCAACATGGCAACTGTAAAGCACAAACTTGGGAATTTATTGCCACCAAAACGAAATCAATCCATTTTGTATTAGCTGCAAATTAGAAGTTTTAGTCGAAATTTTTCTCCTTTTCTGGTTCGCGATGCCCCGTTTGGAGAGTGGGAACGGTCACTCTCTAAACCCAAAGCAACTTTTTACATGCAACTGCCTGCATTGTTTACATGAAAATCAGCTGCTCTGTTCGCCCCGCCCCCCCTCATTTGCAAAAAATCTCTCGGCACACAAGGAGACGCAACCGTCGTCTCTGTCTTTTAGTTATGAGATTTTTTCAACGTATATGCATTCTTAAGATCATCATTTGGAATTAAAAATTGTACTGGTCATTATCTCGTAAAATTAATCAATTCCAATTTTGGAAATTCTGATACTGGTAACTTTTTTACCCTACGATAATTTTGAATTTCGACTTTCACAAAATTTTGTAATCTTGAACGCCGTTATAAATTTATTTTGATAAATTATATGAATCTCAGATTAAATATTATTTGGAATTGAAAATTTTGTAATCTTGAACGCCGTTATGAATTTATTTTGAATGCCGTTTTTGTTAAACGGTTTACTTTAGTTAGAAAAGATACAAAATTTTAATTGTGTAAAAATGTATAATTTAGTTGGATAAAAATGTATGAAATAAAAATTATTCAAATAAATTATAGCGTCTCATTTATAAATTATGGTAGAACTACTGGCTAGGATTTTTAGGAATAAATTCTTTTTGAAATTTCCGTTCCCTGGCCAACGAATTTTCAATTTCAGGTCAATATTCGAGTCTTCGTCTGGAATGAAAACGAATAACTTTCTCATTTTCAATTCAGCTTCAGAACTGAGAACATTCCCTGAATTTCTCTCTACAAAATCTTGTTTTTTGAATTTTCTTTCCCGATGGCTCCAAAGAGAACAAATTCCGGAACTCCTCCCTCCAAAAGACGAAGACTTCAGCGTCCTCCTCGACCAATAACGGGATGGTGTCGATTTGTTCAGGAGTTCATTTTTTCCAAAAAGTACGACCCCAACTCTTTCCGAGAAGCAGCAGCATTGTGGAAAAAACTATCAGATGAGGACAAAAACCAGTACAAAAATAAATTTCCCGAAGAGAACACCGAGAGACTGAAGGCTATCCAAATGTGGCAACAACAAAACCGAATTCTGCGTCGCCCACCTACTTGCTACGGACTGTAAGTGTATTTAAATTAACCTTATAAAAACTAATTAATTTTGACCTGGATACCATTTAAAAACGGAATTAAAAATGGTTTCTATTGCATTTGGGGGCGGATTTACTAGGGGGCAGAATACCATTGAGACCGACTTGTGGGGCGGTGATAAAATCAGTTGGGGACTTAATTAATGCAAACCGATTTTGAATATTCTACTGATGCAGTTATGATTTATTAGAGACCTGGAACTGATTCGACAACAAAAATTAGAACATAATACATTTTTAACATGAAATTGCAACTGAACCAAATGAACACACGATATTAATTTTGATAAAAAGATCGGATTTGATTTTGATAGTACTACAAAAATAAACTAAACGAATAAATCGTCATCATTCATGTCATCAATTTGATGACACTGATTTTGGGATGCATTTTATATTTTAAACAAGTTATTAGCTATAATTTTGTCCTTCAGTGTTCTGTGACTTGTTCCGATCGGTGGTGACACTATTGCGAATATATTAGCTAAAGAGAACGTTGTGATAATTTTAAAAAATATGAACTGTATCATATTTACAACATGATACAGGTCAGAGGTCAACGCCGACCAATTTATTAGCGGCGCCAATGTTGGATAATTTTTCGGGGGCGCGGCGTGACCTCTGATGCACTTCCTCCGAGTTCCTCCCCCCACTACAACTACAACTCTAAACTCTAAAAAAATTAGTTCAGGCTTGAAGAAAAACCAACGACAAATAAGGAGGAAAGAATGGAACTGAGAAAATTTTCTCGGTCATTTAATTTTTATTTTTTCCTACACCCTATTGATGTAGCCCGGTCTCAACGGAATTCTGTAACCATACACCTTATTGGTGGAATCCGTCGCTAAGGCGAAAAATTTGGCCTACACCTTATTGGTGTAGTCCGTCGCCAAGAGATCGAAATCGCCCTCCACCTTATTGGTGGAATCCGTTTTTAAAAGGTTAAGAAAACTTATCGGATTTTCCGCAGAAATTTGGCCGATTTTTCTGCAGAAAAACTGAATGCAGAGCGAAACTATGCATAATTATGCGCACACGGTTCTGCATAATACATCGGCAGAAATTTTCTGCAAAATCATGCATGTTTTTCTTGCAGATATGATTGAAAACCATTTATGCAGAATCCTATACACGATTTTCATTTTGTTTTTTTTGTGACAGATTTGTCCGTCTAATGTGGACATGGGAGCGGTTAAGACTCCAGCGACTCTCCTTTAAAGACGCTGCCCAATTCATCGCCCTTCGTTGGAGAGAATTCGACCCGAAGGAGAGAATAAAAATCGAGGAGAGAGCGAGAGAATTGATTCGACGCTATAATCGCCAAATTAAGAAAGTACGTAAGAGTACATAATAAAAAAATTGATGCAGTTTTTCTGAACTTTCTCCTTGAAATTAAATTATGATGATTGATGGAAGCTAATCTAGGGTCATTTCTTTCAGGTAGGCGATGGAAAACAGCTCTCTTCGCGATGGTTCGAGATGCCAAAATTGGATGTCAACTACAGCCCTCGAGAACAGCCCATTGATGAGCAAGTCACGGAAGACGAAGATGACGAAGATACTTTGGATGTCGAAAACATCGAGATTATATTCGAGGAAGGGTACATCTTCGCAGATCAAGGCTGCTGCATTCCTCAAAGGGAGTAAAATTAGAATTTTTTTCCAAAATTATGTGATTTTAAGATCAAAATGTACAAATACTTAAATTTAAGGGTGTAAAAATTGTGAACCAACAAAATTTAAAGTAAATCCTAGTACTAAATTAATTGATAATTGGCCCAGAATTTATTGTCTTATTAGTCAGTAGTCTTATTAGTCATAAGATCAAGAGTGGGACAAATAATTCATTTATACTACTCATAATTATGCAAACTCACTGTATTGAATCAGAATATCTACGTTTTACTTAAAATAATATGCGAAGTCGCCCATATCCTTCTTGTCGCCGGCATCCAACTCGGTCTCCGTGTCACTCATCTCCGAAGTCTTCCAGTCCTCGTCTTCCCAAGTCGATTCGCTCATGTCCAAACAGGAAGACGTGTCACTGGCGAGAAGGGCATTATTATATTTGAGAAGGTAACCTTGATTCACCACAGGGTCGGGACATGGCGCGGGTACCACGTTTAGCAAACTTTCTCCGTGCAAGTTTGGCACCTTTTGGACATTAGCAGCCCTCTAGGCTCTCCGTTCCGTCTTGTTGCGGTTCATGGAATATTTGAGGGATAACCCATTTTCAAACCTGGTTGCGAGGTTGAAAGGGGTGACGGGGGGTTCAAATTCCCAGGCGTAGTCTCTCTTATCTTGGTCCTGTTGGTCAAAAGCTTGCGCCCTGTCTTGAAGCTCTTTCTGATTGTTGGAGATCTTGGTTGATATGGAACTGCGCCTACTTCCGCTGAATGTATCTCGGTACGGCATTTTTCAGAAAAATTACTGGTTCGGTACGGAAATTTTTAAAATTTTTAGTGAAAAGGAAAACTCAACTTACAAGTTTGTCCGAGAAACATTAAACTTGCAAAAATTTTCATGCTAATTATATTATGAATTGTTTTCAGAAGATTTGAAACTCATTGATTAATTCTTATCATTTTTCATGCAATACCTTTCATTGTTTTCAGAAACTTATTTTTTCGTAAAATACTTCGGCGTTTAACTCATTCAAAAATAATTAAATTGAATTAAAATGAATAAATTTTAACAAATAGATACCTAAGATGAGCTTAAGAATAATTAAAGTGCGTTCAGAAGTGTTTTATAAATTTATATATTTGATTAATAAATTTAATAATTGGATTACAATTAATTGAAATTAAGTAATTATAATTAAAGTGCGTTCTATTTTGTTTTATAAATTTTGATTTATTTATTTATCCGAGAAAAATTGAAGTTAAGGATAAAATACGAAATAAATCACAAAATCTGTTCGGAAACTTTTGAGTTGATTTTAAGGCAAAAAATTTCGAGCTACGCAAGTCGCAAAGTAATAGCTTGGTAAGTGGTCATTTATTTATTTTATTTCACGCTCACCCCAAAAAAGTAATAAAATGGGTCATGCAAATTTTCCAAAATAGGTCATGCAAATTTTGTGTTATAAATAAAAAACCCTGATTATTATCTAATTCGCACCGGTAGTATTATTACCTTATCGTACCATGTTAATCGACTCGATAACTCGTCGACAAAAATCGTTAAACTCAGCACGCTTTTATTCATTCATTTCTCGGCTCTAGGAATTAATTTTACAATCCAATTTAAAATTAGAGGAGGCTTCGTCGGAATACATGGGTGTGGTTTGTAAAAGCAATTTATTCAAGCTTTCAATGCTAAACTTTAAATTTTGATTTCAATTTTAAAATTCAAAATTCTAATCTGAATTTTACTAATTAAATCAAGAAAACCTCTATGATTATCGAATATATGCCCAAGCAAACATTTTTTGTCAAGCTCGATTAATTAAATTCCAAGTCTGTCGCCCACTTTCGCCAAAATATTGTCAATTAATATGAGAGCATCAAAGCGCTGCGAGGGAAAGTTCAAATTTCTCCATATAACTCGCCACAGCAGTCTAAATCCTGCCCGGTGAAGGAGCCAACCTCGAAATCCGAGTGTTGAACTCTCATTCTTCATTTCACTCACAACAACAATTTTGAACTTTTCTCCAAAATTTGTAATTCGTTCGTCAATTTAATTTTAAAAAGTGAAAATTTTGAAATGTCGACCACCACAAATACCTCTTCGACTGGGGAGCGGTTCCACAGAGGTGAAATTTTTTAACCCGAATTGTTAAAAAATATGTTTCCTTATTTTTTCAAAATTGTCATTTTATTTTGTAATTTAGAGAAAACTCACTGCTCGAGAACACCCTCATGTTCTCTGCGACCCTGGAACGTTTACAGGTACTGGTCGTCAATTAAATTAATTGGACATTTGCATTAATTTTCACTTCATTTTCAGAATTCGACATGTTCATGGAACACACTTGTGCAGATTTCAACATGGAGAAAGAAAAGGTTCGAGATTCGTGTTCGTGAAATTTTCCTAGATAATTTTAGACCTGACAAAATCTCTCTCTTTTTCTATTTTAGTATCCGGGCGATTCCGTCGTGACGGGGAAAGGGCTCATCAACGGCAAGCTGACCTACATCTTTAGCCAAGATTTCACCGTTCACCGTTTTTGGTGGCAGTTTGAGTAGCGTACATGCCAAAAAAGTCTGTAAGGTGGGTGGTGCCACATTTACTCAACATTCCGCGACAAATCTTGTATTTTTATTTAATAATGTAAAATAGCAAAGTGAAATTTTAACGACTTTAATGTACGACAAATAGCAAAAATTGCGTAGTTTTTATTAGATAAATAATGTCAAAATGTGCAATTTTTGTTTACTAATTTTATGAAACTTTAGATTTTTTACCAAAATTTATTCGTCCTAAAATTTGGGCAATAATAATTTCGTAAAATTATTTTGGACTAATATTTCCCGACTGTTTTCAAAGTTAGACATTGGGCACCAACCAGTAAGTTTAATTTCGCGAAATAATTGTAATTTCTGCCTACAATCAAAATCTGCACATTAAAAATTCAATCATGCAAATCAAATTTAAATTTTTAAAATATTTTAGCATTTTAGAAAATTTCCAAAAAATTCAATTTGGCAAACAAACCCATATTATTACATTAGCAAATCTAATCATTTTTATTTCAATCCATTATTTAGCAAAGTGTCATTAATTTTGCTAGAAAATGTCAATTTTTGTGTAGAATTTTGTCAATAACTCGTTAATCATCTACCGTTTTTTTTGAGAAAATGGTCTTAATTTTGTCAAAATACCAAATTTTGTTAATAACTCATCTATTATCTATTTTTTGTTCAGATAATGGACCAAGCCATGCTCGTCGGTGCTCCCGTGATCGGCCTGAACGATTCTGGCGGTGCTCGAATTCAAGAAGGTGTCGAATCTTTGGCCGGATATGCCGACATTTTCCAGCGAAACGTCGAAGCTTCCGGGGTCGTTCCGCAAATCTCTTTGATCATGGGGCCCTGCGCGGGCGGAGCAGTTTACTCCCCAGCCCTCACCGATTTCACGTTCATGGTCAAAAACACATCGTACCTCTTCATCACGGGACCCGACGTGGTCAAGTCGGTCACCAACGAGGACGTCACCCAGGAACAGTTGGGCGGCTCAAAAACGCACACGACCCTGTCCGGCGTGGCGCATAAAGCGTTCGAAAATGATATCGATGCTCTACTCAATATACGGTAAAAGAATAGCAAAAGTTTAATTTGGTTATGTAAGTTTATCAGCAATTAATTAAGCAATTACTGCTAAATATACGATAACAAGATATTGCGAAAGTAGTTATAAACTAATTAATTAATATGTACTACTGACAGTAATGACAGGAAAATTTGGTGATTATGCAAGTTAATCAGTAATTAATTAACTAAATTATTATTAATGATAACAAATTAATACCGAAAATAGTTCTTAATTACTCAAAAAAAGTAATTAACTTGTTCAACTTAATATACGGTGAAAGAATAGCACAATTTCGTAATTAATTAGCTAAATAATTAATGCTAAATATAAGATAACAAAATAATAGCGAAATTAGTAAATAATTAAATACCATCACATAGTAAGAACAGCAAAATTGGTTAATTATGCAAATTAATATGTAATTACTTAACTAAATAATTAATCCTCAACTCACCGTAGCAAAATAATAGTAGGATTAGTTAAGTTAATTAACTAAATAACTAATGCTCAACATACTTAATTATTTAATTAATTAAGTAAATCAATAATTAATTAAATTCTAAACCTTCAGGGACCTGATGTCCTTCCTCCCCTCGTCCAACCGCGAAGGCGCTCCCATCATTGAAGCCGTGGATCCTTGGGACCGCGACGTTCCCGTTCTCGATGGCGTCGTCCCACTCGAATCCACACAAGCTTACGACATGGGCGACGTCATCCTCGGCGTGGTCGACGATCGCGAGTTTTTCGAAATTATGCCCGCCTACGCCAAAAATATTAAGATTGGGTTCGGCAGAATGAACGGAAGGACGGTGGGGATTGTCGGGAATCAGCCCAAAGTGGCGGCTGGTAATTAACTAATGAATTAATTTACGTAGGACTCCAGGACTCATCGTCAAAATCTGCACATTTTTAATCATTTCTCCGCTCTGGGAACTTATGTTAAAATTCTGAACGACGAATTTGCAGTTAGTGAGTTGATTTATGGAAGGGCGTCGAGTTTTTTAAGCCAGTTTCAAAGAGTTCCGATTTTTCTGAAGGCTTCTTAAACTTGAGATCTCCTCTTTCAAAAAGTGTCAAAAACTGAAGTGTAACTTTTAAAAAAATGGGAACAACCTGCTCTACAAATTTGTCGTTCAGAATTTTAAAATAAATTCCCAGAGCGGAGAAATGATTAAAAATGTGCTGATTTTAACGATAAGTCATCGAGTCCTACGTTAGTTAAGTATCTTATAACTAATTAATTGGAGAATTAACTAATTAATGTTTTTTAGGGTACTTGGACATCAACGCTTCCGTCAAGGGGGCGAGATTCGTCCGTTTCTGCGATGCTTTTAACATCCCAATCATAACTTTTGTCGACGTGCCGGGATTTTTGCCAGGAACGGCGCAAGAGTACGGAGGCATTATTAAACACGGTGCTAAACTCTTGTACGCCTTTGCGGAAGCTACTGTTCCAAAAATTACCATTATTACGAGAAAAGTGAGTGCATAACAATTTTAATCGTTTACGAATTTTATGCAGGATTCGCATAATCGTAGACAAGCTATTTAACTTGTGTTTTTTAACCTGCGAAATACTCTTGAGATTTTTTGCGCAGAAATCAGCACAAAAATTAGGACTATTTAGAACAAAGTCAGTATTTCCTTCGATTCAAAAGTTATTGAAGGTTAAAGTTTGATTGAGATGGTTACAAAAATTGGGATTTAACTTCAATAACTACTAACGTAGGAATTGATCCTCAAAATCGTCAAAATCAGAACATTTTTAGTTATTTTTTGGTTCTGGAAATTTATTTAAAATATCGGGACGACGAATTCGTAGAACAGGTCGTTCCCAATTTTGTAAAAAATGTACTCCAGATTTTGCCACTTTTTGAAGAAGACTTCAAGTTTAAGAAACCTCCGCCCTGAAAAATTAGAGCTCGTCGAAACTGGCTGAAAAAATTCAAATCCATTCCATTAATCAACTCACTGCAGATTTCTCGTCCAGAATTTTAAATAAGTTCCTAGCACCAAAAAATGATTAAGAATGTGCTGATTTTTTTGACAATTTTGGTGATAATCAGTTATCGAATCGAGTCCTACGTATATGCAGAGCTACATACTGACTTAACTTTATTTCTGAAATAATCCGGATTGATTTTTGCCCTAAACATCTTGACCGACGGACATACTATTTCGCAAACCGATAACATACATCTGGCTTATCTACGATTATACGAATCCACCTTAACGTACTGATATTTTTTTTCAGGCGTACGATGGTGCTTACGACGTCATGTCATCCAAACATTTACGCGGCGATGTCAACTACGCCTGGCCGACGGCCGAAGTTGCCGTGATGGGTGCCAAGGGAGCCGTCTCGATTCTCTACAGGGGCCAAACCGACGTCAAAAAATATGAGGACGAATACGTCGACAAATTTGTCCCCTCCGCGATCCGAGGCTATGTGGACGACATCATCGAGCCGAGAGCCACACGGGGGAGAATTTGTTAAGATTTGGATGCTCTAGCCAACAAGAAATTGACAAATCCGTGGAAAAAACATGGAAATATTCCACTGTAAAATATTTAGGATGGAAGAAATTCATGACAAATTTTATTTTGGTTAGGAAACCTTCCATAGGAAAAACTGAATCTGAGCAAATTTAGGCTATTTTACGGCCCAGAGTTTATTTTATGATATTTAGAAAATAAAAATCAGATAATAACGAAATTTACTGTTTATCCGTATATTTTTGTGGCGTAATTTGTGCGCATTTTATTCTTTCTTGTGTAATTTAGCTCTTCAAAATTTCTTGACATTTGAAAACGACCAAACTTAATTGTTATTTTTATGCGAATTTTGTGCCGGCGTAATTTTATTCGTTATAATTTCATGAAATTTGAAAATAACAACTTAATTGTTATTTTTGTGCAAGTGTAATTTTGCTCGTCAAAATTTCATTAAATTTGACAATAACGCAACTTAATTATTATTTTAGTCCGTCTATTTTGTCGCGTAATTTGTACGTATTTTACTTTCTGGCGTAATTTTACTCGTCAAAATTTCAATTACAATTATTACTTACACATTTAAATTTTCGCAACCAGTTTTACAAGAATTATTCAGATTACATAAAATGTTCTTCCTCATATTACAAAAAAGTCCGGTCATGTCAAGATAAGATGGGTTGTGCCAAGATAAGTACACCCAGATAATCACGACTAGCGTAAGGTGATGGATTCCGAGGATAAGACGACTTATTGTTAGAGCTTACTGCCACCATTCCAAAGAAGAATATAAAAAACAGAATGAGTGGAAGGACAAAAAAGATGCACACCAAGGAGACTATCACGCAGATTATCATCTTCCGGTTTCTTTGTCGATTTTGATCCATCCTCTCCGCCGCGGCGGGATCCCTCATCCCAGCGTATGGACCACCAGCGTAGACGCCACCACTATAAGCGCCGTACACGCCACCTGCAATAAGCACATTGCTGTTGCTGTACAAAGTTGGGATCAGATCTCGGGTTTTTGAGGTTTTACCCGGGTATTTGGTTATCAAATATGAGCAATACCCACGGGTAGTCGGGGTTTTCGAATTTAATAAAGTAACTAGTTCTTGAATTTTTCGCAGCTTTATTGCGAAATTACAGACAAAGCAGATTGTTTTTTAACAAGTTAATTACCCCGCTTACCCCGACTTCCCTACTTCCCTACTACCCGTGGGTATTGGTCATAGTTTTGCTACCCCAAAATAACCCGGGTAAAACCCCAGGGTATGGGTTTTCAATAGCGAAACCCCGGCATTTTCCTTACCCTGGGTTGGATATGCAGGAGTGTAGGCGGTATTATACTGGCCTTGACCTTGACCTTGACCTTCTGTTTGTGCCATTTGTCGACGAGGGGGGCGGGGGATGAGTGAAAGTTGAGCTTTTCGAACAGTGCGGAGAACCGAGTTGACAATTCTTTATTATAATTTGACAATTGATTATTATTTATATGCCAGAAGACAGCAATTTACGTAATTCCTAAATTAATTACTAATTTAATTTTAGTGCAAATTAACTTGCAATGAATACCCCAAAAAATATATCTTTGCTCTTGGAAACGAAAAATTTATCCCAATTAATTTTGTTTTTTTCAAAAACTTGTTTCCAAAATTCAAAATAAAATCTGAAGAAATTATTTCTCTTTCAAAATTCTTCAAAATTCCCAATGTTATTTGTAACCCAGTTGTACGCGGAGGCATGTTTACGAGCATGGAGCAAAGTGGTGGCGAATTACAAGGAGAGAAAGAAGGCGTTAAAAAATTTGAGGTCAAGAAAATCCAAAAGCCCCCCGACCCCCCACCACCAACACCACTGCCACCACCACCACCACCACGGGGCACCGGAGACCCTCCCACCGGACCACGAGAAGGACCCTTGGAAGGTCAAAATAACCATTCGGGAGCAGCAATAAACCGGCAAAATGGGGACGATGACATGGTTCGACTTGAATTTCTAAAAAAAAATCCTACATTTCCTAAAAATTACTAAAATTCTACATTTTTAACCACTAAAATTCTCCACTGTATAAAGTATTCAATTAATTTGAGCATGAATCTCGCATTTTAATTATAGCTTTGTATTTGAAATTTTCTTTAAACATAAGTAGGACTTGAAGACTCATGGACAAAATCGTGTAAAATCCAGAGCCTAAGTGAGTAGCTGCGGGATGGGTACTTTCCCCAGGGCCGGGCCCCGAAGGGGCCGGGCCATCAGGCTTATTTAAAAATTTGCATAAAAAAATTATAATTTCTTTTAATTATAATTTCTTTTGGGCTTGGCCCAATCTAGTTTTTTTGCGAATTCCTGTTAGGTTACAAGTTCCACGAACAACGAAGTTTTCGGGACAATTGTCTTGTTTATTTATTATTTTTGACGCTTGTTAAAGTACATGTACAGTACCGGTACATGAATCGGAATCAGAGCTCCACGTCGGTGAAATATCGGCCGCAGCCGAAATTTTTACCCTTAATTCTCAGCCAATAATTGTAACAAATATATTTATTTAACTTTGCGATATGAAATATCAAGCTGTTACTCAAATATTGAACGGATAATTTTTAATTTGTTCAATGACCACAATAAGCAGTCCCATATTTTTTAACTGGTGATAATGGGAGAATTTTGCTGCGTGACAGAATTTTAAAAACATTTCTCCACCAAAACCATTCGGATTTTCCAAATGTTGACGCAACTTCAAAAATTACTAAAGGGTTCGGAAAAATTTTCTCCCCACTTACTCCTACAAAAAAACATTAGCTTATTTCTCAAGACTGCGAGACGCAGGGAATCAAGTTTTTTTCTCAGACATACCTTAGTATGTGGTCTTTTCATCACCCACGTTAACCATGTCCACAACTCTTTGCTCGAAGATAAGTGGTCAATTTTCCAAAGTTGTTTTTGGTCCGAAATTGCAATTTTTTTGAACTTTCATTGTTAGCTCCGCTGTTATGCGTGATTTTTGAGACTTGAACATATCCTACTTAAGTATGGACCATTGGTTCTCCAAAACACCCACATCCGGATTTTTATCGGACCACACCCCCTTGCTCCAAACCGCTTTGCCTTGCCTTTCAAATAACGACATGGTCGTTTTTGCCGTGTGATTTACACCACCATCCTGCATGAAAAGTACTAGCTAATATTTGGAAAAAATTCCTTGCTTCTCATGCTATCAAAGCCTTTAGGGTGCATTTTCGCCAGGGCCTCCGCGTGCGGGTGGTAGGTGGTGAACGGCACCAGGGCCGGGCCCCGAAGGGCCGGACCAGCGTTTTGAAAAATTATGAATTTGATAAAAATTTTCTACGCATAAAGAGCGTACGTACTTATTTAAATTTTGCGAATAGAGTTGCCGGTGAGATGAGATGAATTGACACAGACTTCATCTCAACTCAATACCTGGTGAGACGAGATGAAAATTAAATGAGTTGGTCAAAATCGTAACTTGTCTCATGCCATTTCATCTCATGTTCAGCTGAGATGAGATGGCTCATTTAACGCTTTGTATTCTATATTTTATCTAAAATTCTTGCGGATTCTATGTAAACTGAAAATGCTGTAACAACATTTTCATTATTTTAAAACCCAACACACATTTTCTTAGACTAAACAGGCTAAAATTTCAAACAAGAGATCCACAAAAAATGAGTAATGTTCGGTAATGAGTTGATCTCGTCTCACTAAAACTCGTCTCATCTCATTTCACAAAATTTTATGTCTCAGGTGAGTTCTGAACTTATTTAGTAGCCATGTCCTCATCTTCAGATGAGATGAGATTAACTCGTCTCATCGGCACCCTAGTTGCAAGTTGCCAAGTACTGAATGAAAAAAAAATCTCGTCAAACCACCTGTGTTAGGTGAAAACGGAAATTTCTTGCATATGTACATACATACATTACCAAACCTTTATCTGCACTCTAAGAAATCCGGTGATAAACGTGAATCTACCGGCTTTGGTGATTGGCGTTTTTACCGTGTTGGTGGTGGCGTGCTTCCTTATGGTGATTTAGTACCACCGAGGTGGTGGTGGTTTATTTCCATGCGATAAGCTGTAACCGAGCAGTGGCGTAGGTTCACCATTCCGGTAGAGTCACATATAGTCACTGGCCGCTGATAAAATTTCTTACAATCGAGGCGCAAACCATGTTCAGCCCAGATTATTTTTTCGCATTGTTAGTTTGGAAGAGCAAGTCTTTAGAAACAACCTTTGGTTCGGCACTTGCTCAGATGCGCAAAATTCAAGCTACAAATTTTAAGGAATTATTTCACCCAATTTCTAAATTTTTTAGATTTTTTTTCTCAGAATAGAAACCATCAACACTTGTTACGTTGAAGAAAAAAATTACTCCTTGTTAAGAATACTGTTGGGGGTGACCTGATGGACTAGGAGGAACAAATTGCAGAAATTATGATGCAAAAATCTTACGAAATTGGGTGACATTATTTCAAAATTTATAGTTGACTAAAATATAACACTTCTGCATTATTGATGAAAAATATGGATGATGAGGTGTTGCGTCGTCATTGTCCTCGCGTGGAAGTGAACGATCGAGCGCGCAGGACACTGCATTAAAAATCATGCGTTTGTGCGAATTTGCGGCGCACGTAACGTGCTGAATTTTGCGCATCTGCGCAAGTGCCAAACCAAATGTTGTTTCTAAAGACTTGGTCTTCCAAACTAAGATGGTCAAAAAATAATCTGGGCTGAACATGGTTTGCGCCTCCATTGTTAGTGTGTTTAATACAATTTATGGCTGAAGATACTAGATCAATATGTCACTTTTAGCGAATACTTCAATTTTGTTTCTGAAGTTTTGCATTAAAATTTTTCATGCAGGTTCTCCACTTCTAGTTTGGTTTTGTTAAATAAGCGTTTGATTGAATGCTCGCATGATGATAAGCTCATCGTGAACCCAGGCATGTGGTGACAATGATAAATTCACTTTCTGGTAGCGATATTTTTGCCGTTGCCAGGTTTAGTTGAGTTTAGCTCCGAATGAAAGATCATTTTCTGTACCAAAGATCATAAAAAGCTTTAAACTTTTACGTTCAACTTGAACGATTCAAGTATGGGACAAGAAAGGTTGATTAAAGTTGAATTGCATGAAACTGAAAAAAAACGAATTTTTAAATTATTTATACTTTTGCAAACAAAGTTCAGTAGAATAAACATTTAGTTCTAAAATAAAAATTTGTTACAAGCAGTTAGTTATTTGTAATGAAATTCCTTCAGCCTTAGCAAAGTTGCTTAATAAAAATTACAAGAAGCTGAAAAAGGGCCGGGCTTTTTTAAATTTCACCAGGGCCGGGATTTTGAGGCTTACGCACTGATTTTCGCTATAAAATTATTTGCATTTATATGTGTCATATCTGTGTAATACATATACAGGGTTGTGACGCCACGAGCAAAAACCTACCCTATACCATAACTTTCGATCCACATTTTGAAACACGCATGAATGCTACATGCGACATTTTTTTAGTTTTGTATATCATATCTTCTAGGTTCAATTCTCGATATGTCTCATTTGAAGATTCATTAGTCCTGAGGATATGACGCCATATTCCTTGACCTTGCCTTTTTTCACGAAAATCGCTACTTTTTTGGAATATTTCTCCAATTTTTAGACGGGCATTAAGGTTCTTTTGACATAGTAAACTTTCCTGACTTAGTTTATGAGTAGTGCGACTCCAATTCGTCGATTTTATAAATTTCAGTATTATAGTGGGTTAAATTTACGCGATAGTACTTTCAATGCGTTTTGGCCCATTGCACAAAATAGTACCGAACCTCCGCTTCCTGATGAATCTTGAGTTGAATTGTTGTTTTTGTAGTAGGTGACATCTTTCTACGTCGGTCAGAGCTTTTTTTGTATATGAGAAAAATTCTGCTGGTCAGTAGCCTTACCGTTTTTCCGCCACATTATAATTTCTCCGATTTTTCTTATATTTTTAATTGCTGCGGAACTAAGTGCTCCTCTTTCTCTCCAAGCTTTTCCTCTGGAGTATGTCTTTTTTAACATTGGTAAGCCATTTCTAACTCTTTCTTCATTTTCTAATCTAAATTTCAATTTCCATTTTTGTCTAGATTCATAATTCCTAATTTTTCTTTGTCTTTTTAACTCTTCAACACATGGTTCGGAAGAAACAGAGAATTTTAAAATCTTTACTAACTTCTTGATCTATTTCCATGCCGATTGTGCCGATTGTGCATCCTTCGTGTTTTTAACTACTTCAAAAGTGCCTAATGCATCTTCTGAACTTTTCTCAAAATTTTCTAAAGTGCCCAATGCATCTTCTGATTCATCTAATTCAATAAATTCTACTGTACCTCCTGGTGGTACTTTAAAATTTGGATCACCATCCAGAACTTTTACTACATCAAAATTTCTCTCATCATCTAACCAATCCATATGGATTTCTTCTTTCTCATTTAAAATTGAACATAAATTTTTGATATCTGACTCGTGAATTTTATCTAATATTTTCTGAACTATTTGAAAATCAAATTTTTCTAACTGTAATAATCTAATTGTTTGATTCATTTTTAAAAAATC